AAAAAAAAAAAAAAGAAAAGAAGGAACGCTTTCCCTCGTCCCCACTCCACTTTGTATCCTCCCGCCCTTCTAATCGAGGTGTCAAAGTGCCGAATAAACTGCAGCTAAGCCTGTGGAGCAACAAAAACTCAGTAAAGGTTATCGTCTAGAGATGGTTAAAAAAAGATTATTATTTTGTGCACGAATTGAAAGTAGTGAGGGAATAATGACTTTTTAACACCTTAAACACAGTATCACAAGTCCAACACTTCAAGTAACGCCATCCGGTTGCACTGTTTCGTAAGTCACAGACACAAAAAGGCGACAGATGCTGCAGTTCCTGGATTTGAGGATAATTTGGTTTGTTTTTATGACTGTTTATGTGCTATCACTTGAGGTAGGTGGAAAAGGTAATCAGAATTAATGGAAGGAGGGCGGTGGGATGGGGAGAGGTGTCATTTGTGGGTGGTGCATGAATTACCCTCCAATTTGTAGGTCTACAACGGGACAAAGGAGACATTTTCATGGAACGAGGCTCGTAAACAATGTAAGGAATTGCACACAGCCGCAGATCTGTTGGAGATTCACGACCAATTTACTCAGGGTAGGAATTTACTGTTTATGCCAACTCTTATCACTCGTAGAATTTTATTGTTAACGGTATCTCGTAGGTGAATTACGCGCCTAACATTTTTTGTTTAAATATTGTTTCGTAAATTGCAAAAGATAGGCTTTCGTTTTTTTTTTTTTGGTTCCCTTTCTTCTATCTTGTCAAAAATTCCGCCCAATTCGTGGAAACAGACAATGCCGACTAAAGGAAAGGACTTTTGTGCCACCTATTTCGTCCCTTCTCTCCGTCGGCTAGTTGACGCAATGTTTGATTGTTTCGTTCATCTGGAGCGGGTGGGGAGGAGATGAATAACGTCATGAAGGGGGTGTGCGGGGAGGGGCGTCTGACATGCCCTCGCAACCAAACCCTGACTAATCGTGGGTAGACCTTACTTTGGTGGTCGGTTGGGGCCTCTCTCTCGCTCACTTTACCATCTTCCGAATTAGGTGCTTTGCATTGTCTCTGTAGTGTCTGCTTAGGTAAGAAAATGTGGTAGTCACATGACAGAGAGCGCCAATCCCTCATTGAATTGGGGCAGGGGGAGGGGAGAGGATGGTGTTATGCTGTGCTAACAGGACAGAGAGATGGAAATTGATAGGATAAAAAAGTAATCCGACTGTAAGCGCCTCACTCCCTACTGCAACACAAAACGAGTCTCCCACTTTTAAACACGAGGCAAAAACAAAAACAACAACAACAACTGCTACCTCTTTTCAAGCCTTTTTTTATATTCACACTTTCGAAAAATTTTTATGATCTATCAGTTTAAAATGTGACATAAAAGGGAGTTTTAACAAAGTTGGTCTTTTGGAAGGGAAAATTGGCATTATGACGTCCTTGTTGGATGGAATTCACTTCAATCCACGTTATCGCTTCACACGTTTAAATTGAGTGTTCAAAATAAGTGTTTGTATCTACCCATCGAAATGGCGGAATCGGTGTCTGGAGCAAAGGTCTACACGCATAGTTTGTGTGGAGGTGGTGATAAAATCGTGTTGGACGGTAGTCTATGTGTGAAATTGTCTGTCATCAATGCTTTTTTTTGACTTCTCACTTCACAGATCAGTAGCTGAGTCGGTGGAATGATCGCCTCCTCCTCTATGGAAGGTAAATAGCAGAGAATTTCACAAACTAGTTGGTTATATTTGTGATTAAACTCCGTGTGGACGAGATGGATGGTTGCCACGACAAGGATAAGAAATTTCTCCTAGTACGACATTTTAACTTTACAATCCTCTGGAGAACAGTCATTGACTTTGTATATATATATATTTTTGATGTGTAGCACCCATTGCCACGAAGGCTTTGGAAATGCGACTCCTACAGGCGGCTTCTTACTCCTTCGCTCCTTTCAATGTAGACTTTAAAATAATACCGAAGTGAAGTGGTGCCAAGTCTAAGCAACAATTTGTGACAGTTTGGACGGCCTCTTTACCCCCATTTGTGCAGTAGTTTGGGCAGGCGCTGACTGTCTGCATCAACTGGCGCCTTGCGGCATCACCACAGTGTATGAATTTAAGCCTTTACTGGACGTAAATATTTACTAAGGTGGAACATAATATTTGCCACATCAACAAAGGTGAAGCGTTTTGTTAATGAATGATTAGTTTGCCTAGCATAGAGGGGGGGGGGAGGGGGGAGGCCGCTTTAGCTGCAAAATGCCGCATTTCTGAGGTCTAACCTTTTGCGAAGGAGGGCTAGAAGTGAGGGAAATAGTTTGGAATGTCAGAGCCCTAAGACGTGCTGATTTCCCAGAAGTGCATTTCTTTTCTCTCTCTCCACACCGCATCAGCCTCTTCATATGCGATTGAAAATGAGAGGGAGAGATTTCTTTGCTTTTTTTTCCTAAGAGTGACAAAGTGTGTTTCTTAAGTAAAGCGGTGAGAGAATTTTTGCAATGGCTTTTGTCTGTAATTCTCAATGTAATTATTCTTTTGTCTTGTTGAAGCATTTTTGGGGTTTCCATGTTGACGTCTTGGGGTTGTGGTTGTAACTCGGTGGTTACCTTCACACCGGCCAACCTCATCCTCCTGATGGTGGTGGATGAGCCGCCACCTCCTGTCACATTCGCCGTACTCGGACTCGCTCTTTGTCTCTCTTTGGCATAACTCTTGTAATAATTTCCGGTAATTTTTTGTCTGGAATGTCAACTCTTGCAAAACAACATGAATAGTCGACTTGTCAGACAAGAGGGAATTATTTGTCTCTCTTTCCCTCTTTCAGACCTTGTTAACTATCATTACTTTCACTTCTAGATGCTGTTCTTTTAAAACAAACCTGTTTTGAGGTTTGTTTGGGCGAAATTGAGACTCGACCTTTCTCTAAACGGACCTTACACGTCCATTTATGTAATTAGGCTCCCTTAATCGAGCACTATTAATGGAGTCAGAATTTTATGACCACCTTCTGGGGAATATGCAGTTCCTCTCCCCACTACGGCGGCATTGCCTTTGAACCGAGACCATCCACATCTGTAGAGGTGTTCGAATAACAAAAAAAGGAAACAATCGAGATGGCACAGATTGGGACATTGAAATGTTCGTTCAACCTCTGTCACAAACTGACACTTCGACTCGCTTCTGATCCCTCACTTGTGACTTTTAGACTCTCTGAACGTGGTGATATCACTTGTCACTTGGCCAGTGTGGATTGGACTTCAAAGCGATGGTGTCAGGTCAATGCACCTCTCTTCTTACAAGTGGATTCCTTCGAACAGGACCGTCAACTACACCAATTGGGCGACTAATGTGGAAACCTACGTAGAGGTGAGAATGTTTTTCCCAATTTTGAAGGAGAAAGGTCAATTTCCTAATCCATCACCCCTTGAGGCGTCAGCTAAAGTGATCGTAAAGATCCACCTTTTGGTGGCTGTAGCTCTCTGTGTCAAAGTTTTTTTTTTTGTGGAATCTGCTTTGCAATTGTTGACTTGAGGTGACTCAACTCGGTCTCAACGTCGAGGCGGTCTCTCAGTGGTAAAGAGGTTTACGATGCTTAAAGCCACCACCTAAAAGTACTTACTTGCAAATTGAAGTGTTAAGATGGTGTAGTAGTGATAGCAATGAGCAACAATGAAGGGGAGAAACGGAAGTTGTGGAACCTTCATCCTCAAGGGTGTCTCTGTCAGGTTGTCAAGCTTGTGAATTTAAACGGTAAACAAAAGTAAAACTTATAGCAAATTTGTATCCTGTTGCTAAGGTATCGTAGCTTGTAATTTGGGGAAACATCTCAAGGTCAAATGCAAGGTCACAGGTGAATTTGAGAGTGTTGAAAACCAACATAGCAACGGTGTAGTGTCAACTTGAAACAGATGCCAGTGTCCATATTTCTGTCATAGAAATAGACTGCACCGATTTCCATCCTGCGTCAGGGTGTTGATTTAATGCCTGTCTGAAAATCTTCTGTTAAAATTGCAATGCAAAACTTGTCATTGTGTTTGGAGTCAATTTTACTTCTCCTCTTCCTCCCACAGTATTGTGGGCGAAATTTTATGGGAGTTGTTGAAGAGGTTTCGCCAAGCCTTGTGACCATTGCAGTGAGGCGCTTAGCTCCAAACTCTTCGTCCTCTTTGTTTTACGTGACCTTGAGATGTTCGATAACTGCGTCACTTGTGCACTTTTTTTTCCTTTTACTCCATCAGACTCGTACCATATAAGTGACATGTTTATTGTAAAACAAGCCATTTAAACGGTAGAGGAAGTAGAGAGACTGACAGTTGATGGGATGCAGATTAGTTTATTCATTTCGCCAGAGAGGGGAAATTTTTTGAGCAATTGTGTCTAGTGGATGAAAAGGGAGTTGTCAGTAGAGTGGATTGAATGCTTTGTTCATGCGTCAAAAGTCAAGAGGCATTCAAATCAGATGGTCATTTTTACTTTCAACCTCACAAACAGTGATGACATTGGAGCGATTTTTTGTGCTCCCTTCGTAAGCACCGAGAGGTTGATGCAAATTTTGTTGTCCTCTCCAGTGCATTCAGATCTGTCAATCAAAGTGTCATTAGTGGACAATCGTGGTTGTTGATGAGCAAAAAATGTCACCAACAAGAGGGTCGAAGGTGGCTCCAAACTCATGTGTCTCACCAAGTACAAATGACACGGCGGTCAAGTTGGACAGGCGATTGAGCATTTCCAAGTCGATCACTTTGAGTGATTGTCTGTGCATCCATGCTTTGCGCTTTGTGGTTTGGATCGCAGTGGCGTCTCGAGCTTTCAATTCACAGGGCAGGAGGCAGGCAGTCGTCGCCTCGGAGAATTCTGATGCTTCACTTAATACTGACCACCCACTTGTTCGTGATGGAGCGAAATTGCATAGGCGATGATAGTTCCCATGGGAATCATGAGAGCAGCATAAACCTTTGCAATTTTGAAAAGTTAATGTCCACATTGCCACGGAGTCAGATTGCATAAAGGATAAAGAGGTGAGAAAAGTTGTCTATTTTGACAACCTCCAACCTAACTGGCAGAACTTTCCTGTGGTGGGACACTGTGGGGAAAATAGCGGATATTGTTTGAGGCTGTCTTTGGTAATGCAGCATCCCTCCCCCCTGGCCTTAGCAACAGACGAGAGGTGTCTTTTGCATGAGCAAATGAAGGTTGCTAAAGCCTCTTTTTTTTCAATGGCATCAAAATTGTTTGTCAGTGGTTAATTTGGAAATGCATTGTTGGAGCATTTTCACAGCTGCTTTACTGGTTGACAGGTTGTACTTTCCCTGAGTGATTACGTCGGTCGCACTCAAATTGCTACAGTTAGCTTTGTTTTCCATTATTATTATCATTATTACTATTATTTTTACACAACATGAGGCAATTAATGATTCGACATTCACCTTGAAGGCATTTTTCTTTCGATGGGGCGTTTTTTTCGAGGAATTGTTGCATGGGAAGGGAGACAAGTTTTCGAGGTGGAGGCATTGGCTTCTGCTCCGCCCCACCATCCGTCATCTGTCCCTCGGTTGAGATGCCCTGCATGAAACGCTCAACTTTGCGATTACTGCGGCTGTGGAAAAGAAATTTCGTTTTTAAAGACACAAGTTCACAAATTAGCTACCAAAGTGTTCGTTACTTTGGCGTGCTTTTCTTTTTTCTTTATTGTTATTATTTTTTTACTGTCCTTGCAGCTGTATTCATGTTGTGAAAGGAATTGTGTTCGCCTACAAAATGTTTTTTTGTTGATTACTCTTTTGAGAGTGAGTAGCATCTTGCAGTGCTCTGAGACTTCTGAGAGAATAAAAAAAACTCGATCGGCGAGGCACTCGTGGCCGTTGTTATTGGCGTAGAGGGCAGGCGACTTGACAGAGTCCTCACCAAAGCCGAAAGGAGGTCTCCTTCCTCCTTGAGCGTCAATTTTGTGATCAGCTTCTCTCGATGCCACCTTTAAAAGACAACTGTGTCAATCCCTGAATTTTAGTTCAACTGAATGGGGATATTTTTCTGTAACGTCAGTTATTCCTCACGACGACTCCAGTGAAACGAGAGTTTTGGCATGTTATGAGAGTAGATTTTGAAAAGGTTCCCTAAAAGGGGAAGCCGTGTAACAAAGGGCAGCGCTTAACCCAGTTTTGTGGATGTGGACTTGCGTTTTTATTACTCTCCCCTGCCATGGTGCTCTCATTTTAGATCTGTCCAAACAAACTAAAAAGAGACTGAAGTATCCCGAGGACGAATAAATGGTAGCACCTTTGCAGGTGGTTCTGTGGAGAGTTCGCCCCTCTGTTTAGATTTACCACCCAGTGGTAGAAATTGGGGCAGTTTTTTTTCCAAGACAAGGAAACCATTTGGTCAATGTACAGGTCCCTATACGGCTCAACCACAGAGCAGGTTGTGTATTCTTGACGTGCCGAAGGTCCGGCGGAGGCTACTGGCACGGTCCAGGCGCCAATCCTCTCCTAACCAAAGGTTAAATAAACAATTAAATAGGCTTTATTTACATTGGTGCAAGCCATGCACAAAAAAAACAGTGATTTGCTCTACATTCAGGCGGTGATTATTAGGACTATTACGTCCACAAAAAATTCCTCCATTCCTCAAAACTCCTCCGTTTGTATTTGCTGAAATTGATGTGCGAATGTTGTTGCTGCGTTTGGAAGGCAAAAAAAGAGGCAAATATTACCGCGTAGGCCTACCTTTTTGAAGTTCATCTCTTCACTTCGCAAATCACAATTTTTGTTGCCCGTACGACTTTACTGCGTTGTGCACAAAAACACGCAACTTCGTCCTACTTGCAGTGGCACGAACATGCCAATGCAACGCTGGTAGGAGATACAGCCTTTTTTTTTAGGAAATTGCTTAAACAACCTTTTTGAGTTGCAACTTCACCGAGCTTGTTCAACTTTTCAGCACTTCACATTATACTACTTAAGTTAAGCATCAGCCCCACGATGAACATGTCGTCGTAATAGTTTTAATTTGTGGTGGAAGGTTGGGTGGAGGTTGTAGTTCTTCCATCATTGTCTTTAATCCTGGGAGTAGTATTCTCGGTGAACTCTCGCGTCAAGTATATAAACCGTGTCAAACCCTTTTAACAGCCCCTTTTTTTAAATACTGATTGGTTGATTTTGAGTAGTACGTCCATTTGACATCGCCGATGAACAATTGGGCGCACAAACAATCACCGGTGCGCCAATGGTGCACACCTCTTGTTTCAAGGTTGGCAAAGTAAGTTGACACTATCTTAGCTTTGGGTATTTGTTTCACTCACGCTTGGGCTGTAGGCTATCTGCGGGCGTGTTGAAAGTTGACTAACCGATTTATAGCCCGAAGGCAGGGTTTATTTATCTTTGTCTATTTCCCATATGGTTTGGGCCTGCTCTCTACTACTTTATCCAATTGGGCTATGTGATTTACTGTATCCATTTGCTGTGATTTGTCGGTCCTTTTCCACAACAATGCACCTCTCTGCCTCAAGGGAAGAGCGGCTATCACAGGCAGGTGTTTTGATTTTGAAAGACAAGAAAGTAGACAATCCTTGTTACCTTGACACTAGGACTATTACTGACACGATTTGGATGAATGGTTAAGCGGACAAAAACCCTATCGATTGACATTTTTAAAGCCCGTTTTGATTGACTCTCCCATAACTTCCTCCGAAAGCTATTGAATAAGTTTAATTTGTGACTCCGAGCCTCCTGCACTTACCGATCAGTTACCTTTGAGGTCTAATGAAATTGGCAAGCTTTTATTTGCCGTTTGTACTTACGTTGTTTGTAGTTCTTTTTTTTCAATTGATAGAAGTAAGCATTAATACGTCAATCTAGTTAACTGTTCCATTTCTTGTGCAAAATCTTTGCCTCCTTGAGGTCACCCACGTCCACCAATCAGAAAGGGGCGTTTAGTCTAATTAATTGCTTAGTAAACTGGGATTACCTAGGGTGTGGCCTTATAGAGTTACAAAACAAAAGAAGTAAGCATAGATAAAAAGTTATTGAGCAATAACTAAATGACGTGTACTCTCCTACATTTACACGACTATCCTAATGTATTTTTTTTATTATTTTTTCATCGATAAACGGGTAATTGAAAGTAGCATACTCACTAACATCACATATTTCTCTTGCGTTAAAATACCATAAATGAATGTACTTTGGGGGCAAATTCAGTACTACGCTGTCCATGTAGTTATATGAAAATATTTTGTTTTCAGGCAATGCCCAAACAGCATTGTGCATTTCTGTCAACTTCAAGTCTTCAAACGGGAGCTTGGGATCACTCGGATTGCAGCAAAACACGCATAGGTTTCGGTTGTGAGGTCTCATTGTTCCCTCCGTCTTCGCGGAATTCTACCACCCGTCTTGAGGGTGCTAAACCTGCCTGGACAATGGAAATTAATTCAGATGGCCAGGTTTGCTATCTGGGTACCTGCTATCGTCTCCTTTCAAACCTTGATCCGGAAATGAGCTTCAATTATGCAAAGCAATTTTGCGGTGATGCAGAAGTTGCTCTTCCACGTATCCCTCTGGAACTTATATTTCTCAGAAATCGTCTAGCTTACGCATCCAACTTTACTCGCGCTTGGGTTGGTATTGAATACACAAACACCGAGGTATGCCTAAAAATAACTGCTGTTCAAATGTTGCTAGAAGGCTTAATTAAACGCTTTTAAAACAGGATCGGTTAGAGTTTCCCAGAACGCCCTCTGTGACGTTTTGGCTCACAGACGCCATCCATCGCTCGCACCCGGATTTTCTTATTCCGCCAACCAACCAATCAGAAACCATTTGCCTTCAAATAGACGTCAACTCCACCCTCTCCACCTCGCCTTTCATCGCAGTTCCTTGCACAGGTGATGGAGACGAAGACGCTTTGTCGGTGGCAGCCTTCTGTGCCGCTCCAGAGTCGTCATTTCCTGGAAGCTGTCCTGATGGAGGAGATAGTGATGACGGTGTGGAATGGCATGCATTTGGCGACAAGTGCTTTGCAGTTATGGGAGATTGTGATGGTGACTCGGTACCAGCAAGTTTGAAGACGCCAGAACTGGACGCTTTTGCTGCATGGCTACTGCCTCCCAATCTCCGTTATAGTAAGTTTTTTTGCCTTTATTTTATTTACCTACCCGCTTTAGTGGCTTCATCACAAACGGTTCCGCGTAGCTGAAATAATTCACAGATTGGACATTGTCAATATCGGACCTCAAGTGTTTAAACATAGGATTATTGTGTTGTAAATTCTTAGAGTGGAGTGATTGGAATATTCATCGCACCTTTCCAATTAGCATCGTAGTTGTTGCTCTTGGTTCTAAGATAATCTTCCTATTAGTCTTTAAAAGATGCTTTCCTTGACTGGTTTTATTAGCGATTATTAAGGGGTTTGACGGATGGTGAGGTCAACGGAGGTAGGGATACAGCTAATAGGGTCAAGAGGCGTCCTCCACACAAGCTTTAATCACTCCGTTCGAATTGAATACCCACCCTCCATCTATAAGGGCGATTCAAACGCATGCGGAACATTGTAGTGTTCGGAGGCTTCTCAGTAGGTTATAAATGACATTAGATTGGAAATTGGGATTTGGCTTAGCACGAAGCTGACTTTACGAGTTTAAGAGCAGGAAAAATGCCAAAGCAACTCTTAGACATGCATCTTGTCACAATCAAGGTAGTGCAATGCATTACGAGCTACACTATTCTGACTAACTGTTTTGCGGTGTTTTTAGGCGCATATTAGTGTCGGCTTATCCACTGCCTAATCACATCAAGATTTTTACTGTATTGTCATTAGATAGACTTTAAGTTCCTTAACACAACCCAAATAATGTGGTTTAGACTTTTAAGCACAAACATTATTATAGGATTTTTTGTATGTTCGGCAATCAGGGTTTGGTGGATGCATCTAAGATCTTTAAGTTTGTCAACCTCGGTGCAATTTTTCGCGTGAGTGAGACCTTAACTGACATGGAATTTCACTAAGAGGAAGATTAAAATAATTGCGTATTTTCAATGGGTTGTTTTAATGCACATGGAAGAAGTTGTGCTACTTTGACTTCTGTCAATAATCGATTGTAGGGTAGGTTCTGCGTTGTCCGTGCTTCTGCACTCCGCATTGTACACTGGTCTCCATAGATTTATGGCTGCTTCTCAGAAATCTTTGAATTCACCTAAAGAATTCGAAGTCAATTACGAAATTTTGCATATCTTGCTAACTTTTAGCCCCTTTTGATTGAGCTTTGAATGTTGTATGGTATGCTTTAAAATATCAGTCAAGAGAAAGCCTGAGTAATGTAGAAAATCAGTGTTTAGGATCCATAAATAATGTTTAAGATTTCTTTCTGATTTAAATGTTCCTTCTAGATGACGAGGTACTCATTGGAGGAATTGTTAACACAACCTCACCACTAACAATCACCTGGTACGTTTGTCTACAAAATTACTGCTACTAATCCCAGTTAAGTGAATATTACACAATAGAGTTTCTTTTTTAGGCTTGATGGATCTATTAGTGAGGGTTTTAATCGGTTAAAGCCATCATTTTTGAAACGTTCGATTCCCAAAAATGGACTCTGTTTGGCCATTGAGCCGGGCTCTGGATGGTGGGTTTTGCGCCAATGCAAAGGACAAAATGCACCTCGCTTAACCCTCTGCAGCATTCCTAAAACAATCCAAACCCACATTACCACGGCCATTTCCTCTGTGCATGAGACTGAGTGAGCTATTATTCCTAGAGAATCACGAATTTCGCTCTTTGAATGGGTATTAATTTTATTGGTTGAAAAAGCAGATCAGTATGTCCAGAGGACTACCTTATCCATCGTCGAAGCGATGGATCCGTGACTTGTTATCGTGTAGTTCTCGGTGGAGCTCGATCTCACGGTCACGATTGGAGAGCAGCTGAACGCGCCTGTAGAGCAGTTTCCTCGGGTATGGAACAAAAAGTTCGATGGAGAGGTAACTTGGCGAGTTTACCGAATGAGGGAACCGCTGAAGATGTTATGTCGCTGCTTCTACGAAACGATTCTACGATGGGAATATGGGTGAGACACTTTGATCAAAATACGTTTGCTTATACATTGCGGTAATATCGAGGCTGTCTCTTAACTAGGGACAAACAAATAGTCTACCTGCGCATATGGTGAAACCCTCCGAGTTCGTTTGGATTGGCCTGTCAAAGTCGGCGGACAAACGTTTTTGGAACAATTGGACCGATGGTTCTGTTGGAAATCCTGCATTTTACGAAGATCGTATCCGTCGAAATCAGTCGTTTTTCCCCGACAGTTCTGGCTACTTCTTCGATTACGGCACCTGTATTGCGTTGCATTTGTTTTCAGGTTGTTTAAACATGCTGTGAAATGAGTAGAAAATATTCTACTCGTGATAAATTTGTGGGTCCATTCGTCTTCAGGTTTCTGGTACTCTCTAAGGTGTACCCTTGATCTGGGCTACATTTGCCAAGCAACTCGGACTTCTTCAAACGAGAAAGAAGTTGGTATTGACCACTTTGACATACCAAGTTGTCTCATTTCACCAAACATACGAAATTTTGGCCCATCCGTTGAGACTGGATTCATTCATGACCCCGATCTTGATTGCGTTGCTCCTGGATTTACTTATTTTAATGGTCAATGTTTTCGGGTGAGTTTCACATTTCTCATCCCCCTTATACATGTCCTAAAAGTAGTGAGGTGTTGTCTCCTCAACATCTCAACATTTCAGGAAATCACAAGAAAGATAATTTAAATATTGTCCCTTAAGTTAGCTAAGTGCTATTTGGCGATACGATGAGTTGGGTCTGAATTTGCTTATAGGCATTCCATGACAAATTCATGCCATTTGTGGAGGCTCAAGCCTATTGTCGCGATCTGGGCTCCCCCTACTCTTGCAACGGGAACGCTGGACTGGCTGTCTTCCGCTCCGAGGCCGATCAGCGTATGTCAAAATTACCGCCTTAATATTAGGTGAAATGATAGTTCCGTGAAGGGGACATTCAACCGGAGGTCGTGGTGGATACTATGACTATCAGTGATTTGTTTCCATCATCTGTCTTGATAAATGTCTTGGCGTAAGCGGGTCGGAAGCCATTTTATTTAATCCCTATCTTCGCAGGTAATATGAGGTGTTTAACTAGAAAAACCAAGGTCACTTTCTTATATAACTGCATTTACATTACCCCAAGAACATTACCGAATATGTTTATCCCCGAATAAATTTGTCAATCAAAGCCGAAATTATGTGACCAAAATACTTCATTAGTGTGGCCGTCCGTTAAAAAATGCTACGACATTCAAGTATTGAATTCAGAAAATATTGTACACCATTCTCCCTCTCCGAGACATCTTTGCTGCAGTGGCTCCCTCGTAGTCACTGCTATTTTACCCGTTGTATTTTCTCTGGCGGATAACAACTAACAAACGGTGTTGCGATGTCTTGAAGTGGTTTCCCACGTAGTTTGCCGAGGTGGTTTGTCTTAACGTTGCGCCTCCTGTCAAGCGAAATGCATTAGAAAAATGCTTGTTGGGGAAATAAAGCTGACACTGGTCAGTTTTTCCCGCAGAATTTATTCCTAATACTTAAGTGGTCAAAATGTAATACATTTTCTATGGTCTTCTTGTTATAAGTCTCCTCGAGTTCATTCGTTCATTGAAGGCTTTTTTTTGTTGCATTTAAACGTAGCATATAAACATTGAAATCAGAACTATCGTAATTTTAGATGTCTTGGCTCACCACCTACACCACTCGTGTCCAAGTTATGTCTGAAAATGTTTTTAGCCTTAAAATTCCAACAGTATTGTGTGCAGAAGGGCTTGGGAACTGCAGTGTAGTGTCATCATGCTAGACAACTAGAAAGGATGGTTTTATTTTTTCGTTCACTTATCTAAAAAAATGACTCACTTGTTTGTGTTTTTTCAGTATTTGTGGCCAGCCAGCTGTCGCGTCTGCCTCAGTTGCCGACATCGCCTGGGCTCTACGGACGCGGGTCAGCAACTTACGACCGACTGGAGGTGATTTGGCGACGCTATCATTGGATCGGCCTCTTCCACTACCGTCACGCCTTCCATTCCGTCAATGAGCGAGTCCCCTGCTACATTGCACACGAACTCAACCGAGTACGAAGTGTTTAAGATCTCTTGAGTTTATCATTCTAGCTGCCCTCGAAAGTCTCGGTTTTGGTTGGCATTATTTAGATTACTCTCCAGAGTTTGTATGAATGCTACTGATGTCGTACATCGGCCGAATTTTTCATTCTTGCCCTTCGGGACTCCGTTATAAATCTGTGATTGTATGTTCTCTATCAATTAAAAATAGCTATGGTTTGAAAAGGGTTGAGGTGACCAAACTTTTCAATAGCACGTCTTCTCATACAAATAATGAAAAGTTTATAATCCCGTCGCAGATCCCTTGATTTGCTCAAATAAATGAGGCTAAAACAATAAATCTAGCTTCCGTGTTCATTTGCACCAGCAATTATAGGCACTAAGCCTGCCACCATCAACACATCAACGGGGAGTGAAGGCAGGCTTACGGGTATCTTAAAAATTCTTGTTATTTCGCGGTTGACGCTCTCTTTGTGGACTGATTCTTCTGACTACGGATATCACGTCTCACTATATTGGGTAAAATAATGGTATCAGTAATGAAGAGCACTTAATCAATGTTTTACACCCTGGTAAGGTTGTTTGTAGATGTACACCAAGGATATAAATAAACCACATATAGGTTTGTCTGAAAATTTACTTCTTGAATTTAATAGCCACTCGCCTCATCAGCTGAGAGTCCATTGTGTGTGTCCATCACGGGTATTCCTGACACGGAGCACTTTGGCAGCCTCACTTTCGACATCGGCTGCAACGAGAGCCTCCCATTTGTCTGTTCTTTCGAGGCCCTAACTAGCCGTTTAGCAGCAAGACCTTCTCCTTCGGTGTGTCCCAAGGGGTACGCTACTCACCATGCTGCCACTGGTAAGCATCTCTGTTTTAGTGCTACGTTGATATCGCCTCAAAATCATCTTGCCTACCTATAGAGTGGTTTCACCAGAATTGTTTAATTATCGCTATTGAAATTATTTAAGTAGGACGTTTGTGAAATATCTTGTGCTGTGGGTTCCTTACATTTTACTCCAGCCTTTATTCGATAATTACTATTGGAGCAGCATATTAGTGGAGATTTTCAATTGCTTCAAAATATTAATCAACGGTTGAGATGACTCCCAAATTCGGGCAGTCTTCGCTGGTGGGCTGTGCTTAAGTAGCCTGTACGCACAACAACTGTTACATTGGGGGGACTAGCCAGGACTGAACGGGCGGCTTAAGTCACATGAGGCCTTGAATGTTAATTTTTACTCCTCTAGTATCTATAATCTAGCTACAGATGCCACTGGTTCCTAGGCTGATTATGGCAACTCGTTACCTTGACCTTCAGGTGACCACTGCTATCGATTTATGGGGGAGTGGACGGGAACCTATGAGGAGGCCATGACAATGTGTGCCCAAACTGCTGCTGGAGCGCGATTGGCGGCTCTAACAACTCCCTTCACCGCTGCATGGTTGCGCGCTCATCTTCCTTCTGACCACACTTCAGCCGGTAAATGTTTTTAACAGCTGAAGACAATGACTTTGGGTCTACGATATGCTTTTCTTTCCTTGCTGGAAAGGCAAAAAATAAGACTACAATGCTTGTTAATGTTGTAAAAATCAGGATTTTCTGCCCTTGATAATCTTTTCCCATCTGTTACATATTCATCTATCGTCATCTTATTGAAATCGACTCAATATTTGACCGCTAGGGGTCGTCACTGATTCTACACTTTAATCACTGTCATCAAAACGACGCTAAATCATAGTTTTTTTGAGTTGAAGGTTTTGGTATTATTTAATTTACGTAGTATTCCCATAATCTTTAGTGACAAGTTTCTGTTTTCACTAGCTCATCTTCAGTTAGCATTTATTTTCAACCCGACCCCTTACATCATAACTATAAAAGCCCCTTCCTGGACCTCCCTCCTTAAGGTATGCTGCCGTGGGAGTCAGTTCCACACTGGATTGGTTTGAAACTCCAGCCTCAAAATGAATCATCTTGGCAATGGGCCAGTGGGCTTCCGGTGACTCATACGCGCTGGTCTTCTCAGCCAACCGTTGTAAATACGGTCTCGAACACGTGCTTTGCTTTTGCGAAGGTAGGTGAAAATTCACCCAAACCGCATTCCTTTGCTACAGTGCCTCGGGGCGCATTAACCACCACAGCCTTGAATTATCCAGGTAGACATTCTCATCGAGAACGTTCATTGCATCTTTTATCGTTTTAATCCAAATCCATTTGTCTGTGAAGCGTAGCTTTGCGTGTCACATGTATGAAAAACAAAAGTTGCGTTATTATGTTGTTCATCGGGACAGTCGTTTGTTCCATTGTACTACGCCGTTCTGATTTGGGTTTGCTCTGCTGATGCGACGCCGATTACATTGCACCTCAGCATGCAATCAATTGTTGTCATTTGCATAAAGGGAAGAAAAACTTGTTGATGCAGCAGGATATTCGTGCCGTGATTTTGAAAAACGTTGTGATCTGTTGAAAATGCTCACTCACTGTTGCTCATGGTGTGGTCTATCGCTGTTCTCGGTGATTTTTGCGGTCGCCCTTCGTTATCGCCCATTAGAATGGCATTCCTCTCCATTTAGACATTATCTTAACACGTGATACTACGGTAAAAACTTTAATTTGGTTTTTTTAAACCTTTCCATACTTGAGCTCTGCCCACTTAAACAATCACCAATGTGTCCTCTCAGAATTGTATGTATTGGGTGACTCCTCCGCTTAAACCTGGATTCTGTTAGTCCCAAAGTTTACAAACTATTTCCAAAGGGTGTTGCTAGACTTTAAACTCAGCTGTCATCGGTTTCGCTTCTGAGCCAAAGCTGTCCATCCAGTCCTGAGCAGATTGACAATGAGTAGCAAAATGAAGACGCATTAACGCAGCTCAGTTAAGGCTTTGTGCTCCTTTTTTTTAAGTAGAAACGGTAGCTCAGTTGTCATTATCAAGTTCCTTTATGGGCGGTTAATGAGTCTACATCACCTCTTTTAGACATGTATTTTGTGAATTCAGCACGCCGAAAGGGACCTTCTCCTAATTCGACGTTTAGCTGTAGCAGACTGGGCGCTACTCTAAGCTCTACTCTTCCTCTGTGATCCTGAAGAAGGTCCTCTATGAGAGGCTTTATTAGACCTATTAAGGGTTACCAGGTCAGACATGGAGGGCAAGAAGGGAGTGTGAACGTATCGCTGGGACCTCTGTGGATCGTCCTTACACTCTTTCAGAAGCGCATTCAAATTGAATTCTCCCCTCCCACCCCCTCCACATGCAAAGGACATTTTAAACTCTTAACGTAGTGCATTACATTAGTAACACCACAAATGGGGTCTGTTTCCGTCATTTTATAGTCATTTAAGACAATAAATTGACTTTGCCATTTGATTTTGAATTTCTTTGTCATTTGTGCAAGTGGTGATTTTCATTTATGTAGTGGGAATGAAGGCTGAAAATACTTTTTTTGCACTAAGAAGAATGTAACCTAAATAAAACTAAATTCTGTTTCCAACACTGTAAGACAGACAGCAACTGGTTGAATGTAAATCGTCGATCATTGGTTGGATATGATTTCGTTTTCATTAATGTCTTGGTTGAGATTACCTTAAACGGGACAACGGATCCCACTGTTCTTTATTTACTTTAGCCTTCTGTATTCCAAACAAACCTTTTTGCATCATCGACCATCTGAGATGGTGGGTCGAAAAGCAAAAAAGTAAAGCCTCAAAACTTATAGTCTCTCTTTCTCTTATAGTCGATTTCGATGACAAGCCATGAGTTGGACATGGTTACCGTGAACTGCTCACGACGTCTGTCGCCATTGTGCGAGGCTGATCCTCTGTTTGAGCCCTCCATTTCTTTGTACGAACCGAACGAAAGTTATTGGGCGGTTGATCAGCACGACTACGCTGGACATCTTGCCAAGTCAGCATCGGGAAAAGCGTAAGCTACCAAACAGAACATTGCATTGTTTGAGTTTTAAGCTTCGACGACAGGGTATAGTTTTCTGAATTTGATGACGTTTATGGGCGCGTAAGCTTGTGACTCCTTTGATAACCGAATTCACAGAGCAGGAAGTTGTAAATTGTGGGAGTTCTCGTGAAATGAATGTATTTATGGTGTCCAAATCTTTTTTATTTGTCAGCCTATATCATCGCGGTACTCCTCGTTGCACTTGCGAGTAAACTTTGCCCTCATGTCCCATTGAGGTTTTGCTGGTGTTGTGTTGGACTGCCGTTGGAGGGGTACGAAGTTCTGCATTTCGGACTACGCGATGGCGAACCTTGTTCCAGGGGTAGTAGGATTTCTCATGCTCCATTGATTCAAGCTTGCTCTGTGAAATTTGTTGTACATCCTGTAACCAAAGTGCTTTGATGTAAAATTTCCCACAGAATAGGTTTCAGCTCTCCGATTCAGGTAGTTGTTTACTTAGTGTTATCACCACAAGGGCACTCTCTGATCCCTTCCTCAAAAACAAGAGGAAATTGATTTAAGGCGTTAAAGGCTGACGTACGTAGATGAGACTTACAGGTAAATCAGCTGAGAAAGGAAAGCAATGGGCGCTCTCGTACGATTAAGTGCCTTGAAAGCATGTTCTTCTTTTCCCCATTTTTTTTCTTGTAACTTGTTGATCACCTCCTTTTTAAGTCTCGAGCAATCGCATGCAACGGTTATTAGGCAGCTTATAAGTCTACAAATGGATTTTCAAAGTGTTATCAATACATAAAGGACTGCTTAATCGGATCTGCTAACGCTTTTGACCAATTTCGTTTGTTTGCGTTGAAGTCGGAGGAGGCAGGAAGGACCGTAACAGTACAGTGCGTGGTGGAGGATATGCCTTGTCACTTTCCACATGTCGCAGCACATTCATTATCACCTACGGATAGTATAACCATTAAAAGTTAAAGCAAAGTGGGCGTCATCTTACTCAAATCTCCATACAACATTTCAGCACTCTCTGTTCATTTTGTATTACAGAATCAAGTGGTCTTGCTTAACCTACTGAAGCTGTGTATGAATCAATTAAACGTTGAAACAATCGGTATTTCATTTCCTTTCAGATGCATTCGTTGGGATTTAATCTCTTTATCCGACCCCAATGAAATGGGCGCTCTTCAAAGAGCCTTCCACAACGCTACTCTAACCGCTGTTGTAGCAGCACTGGAAGTCAACCCAGGCGTTTATACCAGCCTCCATTCACCAGCCTTTCAACCAGCCCTCAGCTCTGTCTCCAATTGGTGTCGCAATCCAGCAGGTCTCCGTGACGGTGCCTTCTGTTACATTGACGTTGATAAGTGGGAGTACTGTACTCTCCCGCCACCATCAACTTCATCATCTCTTTCATCCCCTTTTTTGACATCTCAAATTCATACATCCACTATGCCGTTCTCAACGGTTCTTTCAATTGTGTTCATTTTTCTCGGTGTTTTCTTCCTTCTCCCTCTCTGCCTTCTGTTTGTCTTCTGCTTCCACCGCAAGAGTCGTAGAGGATGGGATTCAACATCACCAGCGCAAGAAATACTGTTGCGACGTCTGCCGTTTTCGTGGCGATGGCGGTGGTCTAGAACTGCCAGTCAGCCCTGCCTGCTTGCAGACAATGTTTCCTACAGCGCTGGGACTGTGCAAGAGGATACGATTAGAGATCCAACCGTCTAGTCTGACCAACCGTTGCCTTTTGGAACGGTGAATAGGAAAGGAGAAGAAAGAGTTAATACGATAATGTGCGTTGTGTGCATTTTTCAATTTTTTTCCCCCCTCTCCTCCAATGACAAAACGCAAAATGAAAGTTTTGATTCATGGGAAAACGGGGCTGAAATGGTAAACTGGTAAGGAGTTGTTTGCCATTATTGAGAGTTGTTTCCTTTCCGCATCATTTCCTGCTTCCTTTCCTTCAGGCTAAGGCCCAGTTTGCATCACAGTTGTTAAGCCCATTCCTGTTCCTTCGTTCCTTGTTCAAATGTTCCATGCTTTACGAGGTGCTTTAGTTTACGACGAGGTTATAGCTACTTTCAAACGTAAAGTACCGAAATACCCTACACGTTATCCATTTATACCGTTCGTAGAATGAAAAAAGTTCGGCTTGCCTGATCTGCTCAACACCTGCAGCGCAAGTCAAATTTGCAGGCTTTCGTGTTGGTGGGAGAGATTGATGGATTGTGGCCACAACTTTTTACACCATCCTGCCATGGGTTTGATAGGACTGGCAACTGTTGAGGTCTCGATAGCTGGGTGCTTCGAGGTTGGCTTCCAATATAAGTCCATGCATCAGCGTGTAGAATGCTTATGCGGCATTTTCTTGGTAAACAGCAGAGAAGGTTTGGCACCTTTTATATCGAAGGAACTGAATGTTTTGGATGCCAAAGGAATTAACCCAGTAGTGTATGCGAGTTTGTTTGTTTGTTTGAACTTTTGTTGGAAAATAAACAGGTGATGGAAGGTGGTCACCCATTGTTACCATTGGTCAGCTAAATGGACGTGGAGGGACGAAGAAAAGTCCGACGCAAACACAGGTTGGTGCTGTTCACTTCTCGTCCATTCATTACATTGAAACAAGAAAAGAAGGTGGGGCAGGCAGTAACCACGGTTTATTTGAAGGGTGAAGGGGAGGGGAGAAGAGGGGCGAAAAACGGTCCTTGAAAGGTCGCCCTCAATCACGTGTGACTTTAAGAGGAAAAAGAAACAACATTCAAACATGTTATTTCGCTTTTACGTTAATCGGTGTTGGAGGTGTGGACGTAGTTTTGACTGTAGTTACTACTTAGGGGGTTAGGAACTCTACAACCTTGGTCGTTGCCAGACCAGGTGGCGTAGGTAGCGCAGTGTTGCGTGTCATTATCGTGACTATTGGGTGAAAGAATAGCATAGCAACAAACTAGCGTGATTATTAGCATTCATTTATTCATTCATTCGCAAGCTGTAAATATTTATGGTCTCATCGAGGGCAGGGCCTTGAGTCAGAACAATTCTTATAAACACCTCCTTTGGCGATTCTGAATGTGTTGATTTTCCCCTAAAGATAAGGCTTACTTATGACATCAAAAGACGTCGGAAGTCCCACCCAACACCCTAATCATATGATATAGCGCCTCACGCTATGAGACGATTGAACCTAAACACAGGTGTAGTTACTAGGGCAAGTGGGGAGGCGAGGCGTGGGGGTGGGTATTCAGCTTTTATGACCACTGGGATGCCTACGAAGGCTGCCATTATTGGTGCGTTTGTGTCAATAGAGTTGCCTTCTTCGTCCCCTCCCACCCACTGCCCCTCATGTTGCCACCGCCATTGCTGATTCAGCCAATGGGAGCGCAGAACTCCCGTTGAACACAACTCGCCTTTCAGACTGCGTTGTCAGAACTGCGGATGGATTACAAGGTCATTGACCGGGTCGGGGACTGCCGATTTGTGCATGGACTTCAGCATTCCGAGAAGACCACCATTAGTGAGGGTATTCACCTACCCACTGGTGTCAAGGTGATTTGTGCTATTTTTTGTAGTTATTTTCATAATTAACTGCTCACGTTTATGAAACGCTATAAGTAAAGTTAAAGCATGTGATAAATCCCCAATTTTTTTCTAAATTATCAAGCGCAGAGAAGCCATTCCCTTTCCTTGTTACATAGTGTCGTAGATGATAAGAGGGATGGCTGGGGTAAAGACCCTCCTTTCTGCCCAAATTCTCATTAACGCGCACCTTTATCGCTTAAAGTGTGAAGGTTAATCTTGCCTGGTCTCGTGCCACGAGCTTGTAACAATTTATCAACATTTGCTTATGACTTTTGTGCACTTTTGTGTTCTTGATGTGAAGAGGAGATAAGTAGGTCAAAGTGAGCAGATAAGCAGGACTTTAGGATTATGGTAGGGTTTATGTTGATTCAACCCTGGTACTGAGAGGCTATGCTGTCAATTGAACTGACCCATCTTGGTAGGCTTTTTTCTCTAAAACTTTTCACCCTAGTGGTTGGCGAATGCTTCAAAGTTGGGCAAAGAGGTGTACGCAAAGCATGGGAAACTTGGAGGCGAGAAAACAAATAGGCAGTCCTTGTACGTAGCGTAGAAGACGAACCAGATCTGAGATGCATATTGCTTCACCAGAATGATTTTAAAGTGGCGTTGACAACTAATTTGGTACTGATCAGCATCCAAGCATCGCAACCTTTGAATTTTGCTACTTCCCTTAAACACACAGGCATCAATCTTCCAGGCAGGAATTGTACGAACTCGGTTAAGTTGAATGGCAGACTTAGTGAAATGCTGTGCATTTTCGATACCACAGCTTGGTGGTCTCCAATTCAAGGCGTAATGATAGGATGGGGAGTGGAAGCCGCTTATTTACATTCCCCCAATTCCCCTAATGCAGTGACCTACCACGTCGCAAAATAGGCCAGACTGGCAGTGTTGACGATCTTCGATCTGTGCAAAGGATGAAAGTGAAAGTCTCTCCTGACAACAACTAAAATTACTCCTCAAAACCTCACAACCCACTTTCACGATTTGATGCAAAGTCGCATGCCACTAGTTTCTCGTAGGGCGCATGCGACATGAATGAGAGATTTAGCAAGGGATTAGTAAGTTTGCCGTAACATCTGGTGGTCGCATTTTAGACGCATTGAATTGGGCAAATGGCTTTCAACTAACAGGCTCGCATGCACTCCTCAGGCATCACTCTTTTCTTACTTCAGTAGTATATTCTGTGTTGATTACTTGAGGTGCGAATGAAGACGGTGCGTGGACAGAACATGGCGGACTACGAGAGAGGTCGGGAGCTCTCACGTGAGGCGACTGTACTGGCTCGACTCTCCCATCCCAACATCATTCATGTCTACCATCTGGTTAAGGTTTGACCCCCTACTTATAGTGGTATTTGTCCTTGTCCTTGTGGTCACCTCTTTGTAACCCCACCTTAAGGCGTAATCAGCTTGACAATTTGTGCGTCATTGAATAGGTGCCAAATGAACATCTTCAACAGTGAAAGTGCTGGAACTTAGCTTCTATTCGCGGCCAAACACTAAGTCACTAAGCTCAAACACTTAATTATATATTACTTACTAACATCTTGATTAACAGTTCCAAGTGAAAGGGTTAGTGAGAAGATAAATTTCTCGCCAATGGTAGCTCGGATCGGTGGAAAGGCAATTGCAGCTTCCAGGAGGAGCGGGGAGGTTTTGGGGCACGACAGGGAGGCCTATCCACCCGGCCTGGCCGACGCGGCCACCTAAGTGCTTGCTCTTGTTGTCAAATTTAAGGAAAAACAAATAGGCAAGTCGGTTAAAATTTTGTTGAGACGACAAGACCACATGTGGGAGCTTCTCTGTTCTCTCCTCCTCTCTTCTGTGCGTCATTGATGGGAAAAAAATTGAGGTACCAAATGAGGCAGTGTTCTGTGGTCTGTGGAATTAGTTTTGCTCCCTGAGAAGGCGATTTCAACTTGATCCTCCACCTCACAGTGACTTGACAATTGTCACTATTGTTTCAGTGTTTTTAGGGGTATTTCTTGGTCACGTGTGTTCACAAAGTGGAGACGTAGTAAATCCTCAGCCTACTTCAAACAGTAGTGACTGTGACCAAGTTTATAACCACAAACTACTTCTATTTTAACTCCTCTCTTCACTAACGCCTTGTTGACCATTCTTGACACCCAAAAGTGGTGACAGTGGCAAGGACAGTATCATTTAACCAACACGAGGGAGGGAAGTTCTGTGTGGAATCAGTCTTCAACAAACACATTGTTGCATCTACTTAACCACGAGCCTTCTGTTAGGCGCTACCGCCTCTCAATCCGGCAACTCATTTCCGAGCTCAGAAGTGCTTATGACGCATTGGCAGGGTGGGGAAGCCTCCGGAAATCATCCCAACTACGCTGTTCCCACAGATGGCTGGGACTGGGGCTCAAAATGGTCCGATGGTAGCTTTTGGTGATTCCATGAAAGCCCCACGTAATCTTGTCTGTCTATTTTTAAGCCCTTGCAGCCCTTTTGCACTTTGTGCTCCGTTTGTGGAATACGGAGCAAATTTTTACTTGCTTACAGCACGCTGATCTTCGAATTTTGGTAACAGAATGGATAGACGGTTTGTCTTTGGAGAGTTTTATCCGCCTCTTCTTCCATCACTGCCTGCCAGAGGGCATTGCTCGCCTCTACTGTCGACAACTGGTGTCTGCAATCATTGCAATGCAACGAAAAAGCATTCTTTTGAGGTCAGTTAGTCAATCAACTATCAAATGTTAACATTTAAGCGCTTATTCACTCCTTACTACTAAACAGTAAAAGTTGTAATCGGGAGAAAGCGTCAACCTCCTTCGTACAAGGGAGTATCGCTGCATCGATTTAAGTAGACATCCAAAATAGGTATTGTTTCTGTGAAAAATTTTTTTCTTTTAGGGAAATTCCCATCAAGAGTCTTGTAATCACTCGAGATTTTCGATGCATTAAATTTACCGGTATGTCAATCAGGATTCTTCCTTTTCCTAAGTTTTGTGCAAATTTCTAAATTCATGCATGCACGCACGCACGCACACACGCACACACACACACACACACACACACAAAACAGCATTATTTCATTCTTTCGCTTCACAAGAGATGCCTTTTGTCTCTGCTTTGCGTCCCCGTGGTAAAGAAATATTTCATGACTGGAACCTCTGTCAAGGGGAGTGTTTAATCCGCCGACTGAGATGAGAGCACCTTCAATTCTCCTTGAATCTTGATGGACTTAGCTGAAAATTCATTTGATTGCACCTTAGCCGAGTCCATTTTTAGCTTCACACGGAAAGTGCAGTCGAGTCAAAGTGTGGGACTAGGGTTTGGGACTTTTTTTAGCCATTTGTGTCTTCGAATAGCAATGTGATCTACTTTTCTCGATCTGTTGTGGTTGGTCCCTCGGAGGCCATGGCTAAGGTGGTGTGATGAGCGTTGCTTTTTATTTCTAAAATACACCGAATTAAAGGAAGAAATAGTACTACAGCACAATGCCTCCACCCTGGAGGGCCGCGCCAACAGATCCATTCGAGAATAAGTTGTAGAGGAAAAGACTAAAAAAGGAGCGAAATTTAAATTTGTCAGATCTCTCCTCGGCGTTGTGTTTGCCATTGCGGAAAGACGTGACCAGCGCTACGTGCAGTCCAGAATTCACAGCGCCAGAACTGATTCAAGAGAACGTCAAAACAGTTGGACCAGAGGCGGTCTCTTGGCCATTGTAAGTCCATTTTCCTCTATTTTTTTGTCTTGAAACTGATGCTAAAGGTGGTTGGAATGGTTAAGTATGCTTTGAAAAGGTCATTCAAGTCTCTCTTATTCGCTATCTTATAGCTAATAATTTTAACTGCCTTTATTATTGTTATTTGTTATGTCCTGTTTTAAGTTATTATGGTTATTGTGGAACTCTCACCACTTGATGGGGAGCAGGGGCTTTGTTACTCCCTTTTATAACGCTTACTTTGCTACATAGCAGATGGGAGTGGTTTCAGCACCTTAATTCTGCGCCTCACCACTAATTCCTTAGTCAACTTTTAAAATAGTTTTGGAAGCAAGTCGGTGTGCCAGTAGATGAGACGATCCTTCACTCCACCACCACGAACACATCCTGGATGAGGATGTGTTTAGCCATTGAAAGGAAAATAAAGTCAGTTATCTGTCTGTAGGATTGCGCTCTGTGATTCTGGGGCCAAAATCGGTACTTGCAACAGTGTGTTGAGTTGGGTGTAATTCTTTCCCTTGAAGGAAGGTAAGTATGCGAAGCACTAAAGGCGTGCTGTATTGCAGAGGTCAGCGCAAATGCAACAAACTAGCACATCCTTGCAGAAGGGGAGAGGTGTTGTAGACGATTGCCAGGATCTGAAAACCAGTTCATCTAGCGAGAGTTCCATAGCAAAACTCCTCAGTGATTCAGTAACAAAACTGGGAGTTGTATAATCTGTATCGTGTCTGGCCCCTCTATCAACTTAATCTCTGCATCGATCGTAGCAGCGTAATTGGTGTGGTAAAAAAAATAAAACACCCTTGACCGTGCTACTTTTTCCATTTGCATGCTACTGATTACAATATCAGTCACCCATCTTGGCAGTTGGAAGGGTGAAAATTCATGCCCGTGGCTAGCCGTCAGGACACAGACCAAAAAGCATAGTCAACTAGTGCCAAACAGGAGTTGAAGTAGTTTCTTGAGGACAGGGTTTTGTGTCGTGACTCTTCGATCCCACACTATTGCTATCCATCCATCTCCATCAGGGTTCTGTTCAGCTGATAAAGTGGAGGAGGTTTGGTGAGGTCACATGATTGTTATCTTCTTGCAGGCACAGTGAACAGGTGCGTAACAAGGTAATTTTTAGATGTACACGGCTACTGTCGCTTTGCTTCTCAATCGTCCTCCTGGAGAACAAGGAGCAGGGATAGGTTGTCGAAGATGGACGTCATTTCCAGACCTTCACCTTAAAGTCGTCTCATTACAAGTCATAACCTAGCAACAAGCAATTAGGAACAGTACCCTTCTATAGCTGATCCACTAGTTGTTACCGTCAATATTGGCGTCCATAGGCTTTCGTGAGGATGGAAAAAGGGGTGATGTTGGGTAGAATGTATGCATTTACCGTACAGAAGGGTTTGAGTGGTTTGTAGTATCAGGCAGATGGCGGTCCACCTGACATAACCACAATTACCGCGGCAAAAAGTGGTCCTCCAACCACTACCGCATTATAAAGTAATAACTGGACATTCTTTCACGACCAAGTCGTGGAGGAATGTAAAATGTAGGCGAGGCATTGCATGGACCTTCTGCTTAAGGTCATTTGAAGGTGGTACTTTCAAATACCTCATCGTTTTCTCCTTTTGGTTTTAGAGGTGTGGTTCTCTTCTACATGCTAGTGGGAGAATTGCCTTTTCAATCCCCCTACTATGATCACAAACGCCGAGAACGACTCTTGCGTTTTGCTTTAAGAGGTCTCTCACCGAATCACGTTGCTGCCATCTCCTCCTTCACTCCAGGTTCGATTGTATTCACCTCCTAACGCTCAGGTGTTGAAGCGCACCGACGCATAGGGCACCAAAAGAGGCGATCTTTTTATTGCCCCCTTTAGGTGGGCATAACCTTCTCAATCTGTCAAATTGTCTTAAGCTGATTACAAAAGGCAAATCAAGGCACAAGTACTTGAAGGCCTCAGTGCATCGGTTAGTCCGTTAAGGCCACAATGACCACCATAGATTAAAGTGGATGATTTAAATCATCAAAATTTTCCAACTTCCCTACTGACAAGGTGTGTGTGTGTATTTTTTTAGTTTTGTATTTCACTTGTTCAAAACTTTTAGCATGCCAACTGCTTCTACGACAACTACTTGAACCGCGAGCCATCGTTCGGATACCGATATGTGAGCTCTGCACAAATGCATGGATTACAGACTCAGGAAGTCAACCATTTCAGCCCTTCTCGCCCTGCTCAGCGCACATCATTGCAAGCCTAGAAACAGTTTCTGTAAGGAAATTTGTTAATTTCAAAATTGTTGCTCCAAGTTATGACATCAATGCGAGATTTGAAAAGTGCGCTCACTTTTCTGAGTTGGAGGTTAAGATGTGATGTATGGACTGAATGCGTTTGAGTATCGCAGGTGTCTGTAGTTGTCGGAGCATTGACCATTTTGTGGTCATGATTTAGCGCGGAGTCTGAAGGTGTTTCTTGGGTTAATCCCTTCTTCGCTCCATAACTTGTTACTGCTGCTCAGGTTTTATTCCAAGCTGGCTAAGGGACGGAGGAGTTGAATAGGAGTGAAGCTGTTGTGTTGATGTGGTAGAGGAGTCAAGTGTATTTTTGGTTCACTTCAATCGCTAATGGCATTCCTTTTGTTAAGTGGAATGCAGTGGATGTCGAAGCTGGGCGTTAGTTCGGTGCTCCTCCTAAACGGTGTCAGATCTTTTCTCAGTTTGATTGACCTTACTTCTGCTCGCTAAGGCTTCGTGCCCACCCATTATTACAATACGTCCTTTAGACTGTTTTGGGGAGAAGCTAAGACATCGTACAACCTGAAAGCCAATCCTCCCGATGGAGGTGCTAGCATGAAGCCTCGAAATGGGATGAAATCTGGTGATTCCAAACTCTACAGACTTCTTTTGACGTCTCTACTGAAGACTTTTAATGCAAAATAATTAAAGAGATGGGAAAATATTTTGTCAGGACCGGAGTGAAGCTGTCCATCGGTTGTCGTACAGTTAGTCCTTTCTCATTTCTCCCAAATGCTGCTGCTAGAGGGACGCATTGTTAAAACAAACACCGACAACTTGTAAAAGGGCTATGGTGGTTGCCTTGGTACCTGTTGGAAAGCTAAAACAGCCAACTGCGCACTTCATTAGAGAACGACAATCTAACAAAATTAATGCCACCGAATCCGACGAATAGACGATTAACTTCAACTTATTGGCCACTTTTATTTGCATTTCGAGGGGCAAAGGGAGACCTCCTGTCGACATCATTCACTTTCTTGCCGCCATCAACATTCACGTGGTGGTGGTGGTGGCGGTGGAGTTGAAGTTTGTTTGTGCATCAAACAACCTTGTAATTGCTGTCTCAAGATTTGTTATTGTTGTTTTTGTTTTTTTTTTCAAATCGTTTAAGCAAACATCTGCCAAATGGTAACCGATTGACTGTTAGTAGAATTTCAGCGTGTGTCTTAATACAACTCCCCTTCATTTTTCATTTTATTCTACTGCCTCAGTAGGGCATAAATTTAACAAAAGTAGACTAAGTGCCTTCATTCCAGCCACCTTTTCACATGTGTTCAAACGGAAGTTGTCAGTGGTTGGTGTGGTTGATCCACTCAGACGCTAATCTGCCGTGGATGCAAGTCATGCGAATTGGGGTGTCAGTTGTGCGAAGCTGTCAGTAACCGCGTGCATTGGCGACATCGCGAAGAAGGAGAGGAAGTGAGTCTCCTTGACGTGAGTTCCAAGGCAGTGGTGAGGCATCCACTGGGAGAGACATTCTAAGGAAACAATGAAGGTGCTAACCGGCTGTTAGATGCCCCGAGAACCGATCGACGTGATATTTGTCAAGACCCCATAATAAAAGTGACACCTTTCTGATCGCTGTTGTTGTGTTGGACGGTGTTTACCTCTGCATTACAACGAAAAACGAAAGTGGTGTCTGCTGCTTGCAGGACTCGTCAAGTGCCATCCAAATTTTGCCAAAAAAATGTCCACACACTCTGACGACATGAAGGTCGTGCTTGAATGAGGGCAGCGATTCGATGTTCTTTTAAGGAAAGAATTTATTTATTTTGCTTTGAGAGGGACTTTGGAGGACATTTGGCGTCTGCCACACTAATCATGCGATGCACAAGACTGAAAAGGGAACTTTTTTTAACATTAGCAAAATCCGCTTGTGAGTCGGGAGTTCGCTTACCTGCAGGGATCGAGGTTTGCGTTCATCAATGGCTGTGTTGCATTGAGTATTTCCAGGAGGAATTTTCGACCTCACTATGATGACCTGAGTACTTACCCAACCTCAAACTTTCAGTCCCTCTCAACCAACAGCTGGGGGATGGCTCACCACCGTTTTATCGGATCAGGAGATTCGGTGAAGAACATCCAAGTTTCTTGCTCCTTTTCTGCACTCACAACTTTACATTCTCTTTGTTTAGAAACTCACTCCAAGCACATCCTACAAGGGCTCCACTGTGAACAACAACCACCAACCACTTGGAAAATGGGAGGCACCCGCCGATCGTGGACTACTGAATCGTGTGAAAGGCATGTTTACCAAGAATGCAAATGATGAGTCCTCCACCGAAACCCGTGGAAATGAGTGGTTGTTGGCAACTGACGTTGAGGCCAATGATGCAACCATGCCTTCCGATTCGGCCGACACAAATGTTCCTTTCGGGGAACAAAAGTGCAACAATATTACTGAGGTGAGGTATTGAGTAAAGGGAATGAAAGTTGGAACTTCACTTCTTTCATCCGGCCGTTTCATAAAGTTGTGAAAAATGAGGCCCTTTTATCTACATGCGTGAAGAGTGTCGATTTAATTAGTTAAATGCAGGCAAAAGATTGATAGGACTGTTACTTGATGTTTTATTTCCCTGGAACATGTACAAAGGCTGTCGACTATCTTGCTCGACTACGAAAAACAAGCGCCTCGGAGGTTGCACGAGCCGTTATGGAGCGTCCGATTGGAGAGGTTTCGGCAACCTTTCAGATTTTGCTCAACTTACAGAGACAAAATGCAGGTGAGATGCCAAACTTGATGCATTTGTCTGTTTAAGAGGGAGTTCTTTGATAGGCCTCCATGGTATTCGTCTCAACAATGCCTAAAAAGCGGCTTCGCTGCGGAAGCAGTGTGAGCACGACTTCTCCACCCTCTGAAAGTGGTGCGTCTAGGAAGCGTCAACCTTCTTTACCTGCTGACAGATGTCCGTGGATAATTGAATTGACGGATCTTAAATGGTCGTGATTGAGGTGTTTACGCAGTTCACACAGCTCTCTAGATCTAATGATTTTGCTTTTGCACAAAACAAAACACGACGAGGAAACGATGTTCAACCAGCGTGCATCACTACGAGCTGTTGTCCATTTCATGCATCCTACCAATAGTTGCATTGCCTAATCCATGACTTTGAGCCTGAAATGGCCTTTGAACTGACCGATTTTCGCACATTTTATCGTCTCAGTTATATATATCTCCCCCTATGAGCTCTAAAAAGATCAAAATCTAGATCTGTAGCTCTAAGGCTTTGATTTATTGTCCGAAATTGTTTATTCTACGCCAGATTTGAACAACAAACTGTTACCATGACGTCTAACGTTTTGTATTGAAGGCATCTACTTGGTGGATCACACAACGCCAGGATGGCCTCAATTGGAATCTGCCTGGTTCATGGCTTTCATGGACTCCACCATGATGAAGCGCTTGCGTGTCAGTGCCGGAGACGTTGGAAGTTTTGAGGATTCCGTGTTGAAGGGTGGGCTCCGTAGTATCAATTGGTGGTGGTGTCCTATCCTTCTAAGGTTAGACAAGTTTGGCGTTGGAAAAAGTGTCTCTGTAGTCACTCCCTTGTCCACACTACGCATCACAATTATCTCAGGAGTGTGCTCATCCTAACTTGATGTAAGTGTAGCCGTTTTAGCCTTCCCTGAAGGCGAAAGGGAGCACAATAAGCACACAGAGTCAAGAGGTTTGTCGACCACATGATCAGTTACCGAAATCGAGCGTTAAACAAACAACTAAAGCATTACAAAAAAAAATTGTAAAGGCAATTTGTGCGGAGGCTGATGTGAAAAAATAAAGCCCTGAGTAAATAGTCGAAGGTGCGTCTTCGAGATGCTTGACCTTCTGCAACACTCTTCTTCAACTTTTAAATTGTACCATCACCAAAATGTTGTGAGTTACCAGATTCCTGCATTTACATCCATTGCGTAAAGTTATTTTCATTAGATCCATAAAAAGCTATAAAATCATAGTTTTAATCTGAATCTATGCTATGGAGGCAATAAACAGCTAGGTTGCTGTTTCTCGGCAGATGGCAATTGAAAACAGCTGGGAGGAGAGTAACGACCACTCCCACGGATTTGTCTTGAGTTTCTAAATTATGTTTACTCCCTGAAGGTGGGTAGTGCTCTATTAACCTCAAGAATGGGATTGCCTGTTTGTTTTAACTCTCCTGTCTTGGTGCTAAACCGCTTGGGCCACCAAACTATTATCGCCCCCCCTCCCCTGTCCTGGAGACACTAACCTGTAGCCCATGACAGTGACGTCCAGATTCGCCTATAAGTTGGCCTTATGCATTTTACTCCGAGGTATGACATCATTCCCTCCAAGGGCAGCCATTGAGAGTTAAATTAGCAGCAGTACCGACTTTAATTGCATACACCGAGTTTAAAACCTTCCTAACCTACGCCATTTTCCTCGAGCAACCGTCTAATTGGGCCTTCCACGATTGTAATTCTACCAACAACGGAGTAATTGCCAAATGTCAAAAAGACTGTAGAGTGTGCCTCTATCCGCCTTTACTTGTTATAGAAACTTGGGCAATTGCATTTGCAATGAATCAGGCGAGGTGTTTATAGGAAGTCAGCTGGATAAGAAAGCCTTTCGCAGAGACCTCATGGTGTCGATTGAAGCCTTCGAGCGCAAGATGATGGGCCAGACTACGTCACAAAGCAAAACGGAGATTACTCCGAGTCTCATTTCGTGCAAGAGTGAGCATATTTTGCGCTTTTGTGACTTGTCAAACCTAATCCACCAGCCATTACGTCTACAACGTTTGAGACCAGTCTTCACAAGTAAGGAGATGCTATTGTCCTTTGATCCATGTTACTACAAATTTGATGGAGACGCTAGGAAGGATTTGCTAGGACAGTGATTGTTCTCGAAACAATTAAAGTACTAGAGTTCGGTTGTATTTCCACGAGTAGGAATGGGACGAGAGTAGGCATGATCTCGACAATTTTTCTTCAGTGCAACACCTCTCAGTTGTAACAGTTGACAGTGTTTTGGGATGTAGTGTGTCACTACAAAGAGGAGCCTACATATTCGCTAAAAGGATTTGCTAGAAAGGTTATTGAAATGCAGAATTGCTACTTTACACGACTCAGCGAACGCTCATTGCACAAATAGGCGGTTTCCAAAGCACCGCGCCAACAAAGTCTTAAAACATTCTATGGTTTCAACTGGTATAAACACCTGTATTAAATGTCTTTTAGCGCTGGATAGCCGGAGACCAAAGGAGATAAAGGTAACTCTTAACCTTTCAACTTAGTTTTGGAACAGTAGAAGCACTTACCAAAAAATCCAATGTTAACTGTGCTCTAGTCGAAGCACAGCATCAACGCTTTTGGCGTGGTGGTGATGCGAAAGACGAATCAACTGCAAACCCCAAAGGACTCGAGTAGGCTGGTGCGAGAGTTCACCGAGCGTCTGCGTCGCAGCTCGATGCGTGCCTCGGTTCGAAGTAACTTCCAAAATGCTTGAATGTTATTGTGGTTCCTCTTTTGACATTTTACAAGTGGAAAAATAGAGTCTTATGTTTCGTCACGTGTCCTCATTGATACCAAACAGAATCGAAAAATCGGTTTAGAGGTAGGGCAAATACTAACTTCCGACATTTTAGTTTTATGCACAACGTAAAGATGGGTTAAGTGCCCTACGATACTATGCTTAGTGCTTAATACAACAAATTAATCAATGTGGTTTTAACAACTTGTAGTGCCTAGCCCACTTGGTAATCAATATGACAGACAGTCAATTTTGGCCACCCTGTGTATAAGCCTTCAGGTCAGGCCATAAATTATCTTTTAATTTTTGTGTCCGAGTACCAGAAACGATAAATATCCAGGAGCCTGAAATGCCAAACAGGAAGTCTTGAGACTTTGCAGACGTTACTAAGGCAAAAGAGGCGCTAGTAAAAGCGTTCCATTTGACATGGAAGTGTTAAGCATTGGGCGGTAAAATTATATGGACCTGAGATACGGTGTTTATGTGACGGCATGACGTTTGGCGGACATTATACGATTTGACTGGCCCTTATACTCAAGTGCTGGCCTTCGGGCCATGCTCAGGCCCATTTGCTCTGCCTTCGAAATACATATCCAACAACACTTATTGCATTCTTCCAACACGTGGGAAGTGTCGGGAGGCTACATGACCAAAAACACCTGTAAAATATTCTTATATAGATTGAAATTTTAAGATCCCACATTTTCCCGCCGATCTTCTAGGCTTCATCTTCTGTTCACGTTCAGATAAGTATGAGAAATTAAAGTGCTTAAAACTTTTAACAAAAGCATTTTTTAACGTGGATAATATGCACGTTACAATAAATGAATAAAAGATAATTTGGAAATTCTTGAAAGGTGATATAATTTTGATCATAATGTTGTTTTATGTTTTTGTTTTCGAATCGCCCGCTTAGATTGAAATTGTGGGACCGCCATTGTCAAATCGCATTTTCTATGTGAGTTGTTTGTCCTTGATTTGATTTACTCAACGCTTTATCTTAAAGGAATGAATGTACGTGACATGCTTTCCACTACAGGACCCCTCTTAGTCTTCTTTTTAATGAGGTGTTTTTGAGACACGGTTGAAATGTCGCATACGGGTGGTGATATAGGGAATAACGCTCCTCCAATTCAAGCTTGGAATAGAACGCCAGGTAGGCATTCAGTGGGGATTATGCTTCACATGTTCTGAAGTTTTAACTAACCAAATTCGTCTCTATAAAGGTAAACCAAGTCTTCCCAATTTGTCTGGAAATTTGCCAACTACTGCTTCATGGGGTGGTAAGAAAAAGGTGAACCCAAACCCCGCCTGTTCAGATGCCACTGCAAATGATGTCTGGCCTTTGTTGACTGATACGCCACTGTTGCGTAAAAATGAATCCTCACAATGGCCAACACCCGCTGAGTTGACTGGGAGGTCACGGAATGATACCATCAATGACTTCTCAATTCCTAACTCTGTGAGTACATTTTCTGGTCGTTGCATTAATTACAATATCGTATTTATGAGGTTTTATTCGTGATTTTCAGTGGAATGCTCCTGGCACGTCAATGGCACTTCGTACTCTAGGCGAGACCGACGATAGAAACGATTCTTGGCCCCCTTTAGACACGGCTCAAACATCCAATTCCATTGACCCGGTATCCATGCCACGCGCTATTACTGGCAGTGGGAATCTCGTAGCAAGCGAAAGTGCATTTACTTCCCGTCAGCGAATTCAAGGCGTGGCTAGTGGTAAACCTCGAAACGAAAGTTTCGCAAGCTGGGCTCCCTCCGTCGACGGTGATTTTAGTGCATTTGCGAGTAAGCTCCTTGCCTTTCAATGCGTTTTCCTCAGAACTTTACTGAAATTTCTAGGCAAACTTTATGGGTTTTCATGGTTATTACATAGGCCAGCAGTTGCCACCTACCTCCGACAAGAACGTTACGAACTGTCAGCAGTCTGGTGATGCTGTCTGTTCGAGTGTCAGTGATTCTGGTAACCATATAGATGGACAGAACGAGACTGCAGTGATTATCAATACTCTGATTAACTCGAAGGAGTGCTGGGGACAGCAACCTGTTGACCAAACTACACCCTGGGATATGGCTCTTCTCAATGAGGAGCTGGTATCGGCTTCAACGGCAGCATCAACTCCGGGCAATCATAACTCTACTGGCCTTTTAGGGGACGCTGTCTCCCTTGCCATGAAACAGCGTCGTTCAGTTCGGAACAGTTCCGGGATCGCTAACGTAGGTGTTTCTGTGGAGTCGAACGTGTGGTCCAGTGAACCGCCCACGGGCACCGGCATTTGGGAGATGCACTATGAGAGTATAGGCGATAGATCGGGGCGTTGGAAGCAGCCCTCATCGTCCGCTGGAACAGTAGGAGTGGTTGGTGGTGGAGGCGGTAGTCCGAGACTGGACATCGTTGCTTCACCACCTGGAAACCACAGAATATTGTCCTCCTTCTTGAGTCCATCTCCCATTCAACAGCAGCAACAGGGACGTGGTGCTTTCCAAAACAATTTCTTCCCCCCACAAACGCAGCAAAGATTCGGTCAGGCAGCTCAGCAACCACCTCCAGGATCAGGAAGAGGAGTTTTTGGTCCAAATGGCATCTTAAATGCTGGCACCACTGCTGGTGGTGGTTTTAAATCTCAGGCATCTGGCATTGCTCAGGGCTCGACCGGGTGGTCGCTTTCACTTACACCTGATGGTCAAAGTGAGTTTGAGGTCATGCTTGATCTTCTACACCATTTGACATCTTGGAACCAAAACCACAGTGCTGTTTACGAATTAAAGCCGACTTATTACATGTTGAAGTTCTGTTTAAAGTCAAATGAATGAATTTAAGTTGCTCCATCATTTTGAGGCGTTAGTGTGTTCTGCCATTGGTTCGACCGTACATATTGTGATTTCCAGAAACACTACGGTTTTAGAAGGCCACATCCCCATTTATCAATGCTTAACTTGAATCCTCACTTCTAGAGCAGTAGTTCGGTAGTGCAGAGATAAATATGCACCATTGGAAGGCGTCGTAATAGGAGAGCGTTAATGCTTATTTCCGCCCATGGCTAGAGGTATTGACTTTGCATTTATTGGTCGGCCTGGATAGTTGCTGATTGATTTTCTCTAAAGTGATCAATTGATATTGGTGCCAATTGCGAAATTTGCTTTATACTTTTCTTCCCAATATCGTCTTAGATGCTAAAAATCCACTACTAATACATCATCTTCATTCAGGCCCGTTGGACGATACCAAGCGATTCCTGGCGCCCTCAGGACCATGGGGTTCTGAGGGTCGAGGGTTGGGGAAGCAGCAACAGCAGTTGTCCCTAAGTGACACAACACGTTGGTCTTCGTCCCTCGCTCCGCCGTCCTCTGTGTCAGTCGATAACATCCCACCTTCCTCCGCCCCAGCCGCGCCACTCTCCTGGCAAAGTGGCATGGATCCACGGAAATTTGTGCCCTGGTCCCAGCAGACTGCATTAACTCCACAGCTTCCCTCTGCAGCAGTACCACAGCGCTTTCATCTTCGTCAAAATACCTCTGTCCTGCCTACTGCCGCCTCTAGTGGCGCTTCGGCGTCGGTGTCATCAACTTCGACGCAGCCCCTGCGACTTCTCCCTCCTAATGTTAACCACCAGCATCACACCCATCCTCATCAAGCGCCATCAGCCACTACGGCCCTCCTCCGTACTGATATTGCCAGGCAACTCATGTTGCTCGGTTTCCATGACGACGCTGGCGCCCTCCTCTCTGACAATGGCATTGACGACTTGGAGAAGTTTCTCTGTAAGACTACTTCTTTTCGTCGCATTGTTCATAATTTGGAAGTGGTCTCTTTGGTACCAATTTTAGATAGGCTTGGAGTGGAAAAGTCATATTCATTGCCGGTTTTGGTAGTGATGTGCGCAACTTTCCAAGCATTACTTTAAATGGTTGCAGCACTTTATGCGCTCTGATTACTGATCTTGACGTGGTGAGAAAAAGAAGTCTTTATGGGATAAATCAGTGCGTTCACGGACCTTTATTATTAGTTTGCTGGAGCAGTAGGTTACTCTGCCAGTCTTTACCGACCGTTTGGGTTGTCATCGGTATTTTCGCAGGAGCTTAGATTAGTTCGCTTGTTACTTCGCATCCATTTTACGATAAACTGATACAGTGTCTCACTTTTCCCACGTAGTTCAATAAAGGCTGTGCGTAGTGCTTTATTTACATTTTCTAATGCCCTCAAAATTCTATCGTCTTGGGGTAAGTAGGTTGTTATTATTGCAAAAGTTCACATACTTTAAAAGTGCTCTGCCTGTTTAAGGCGTCTTACTTTACGTAATTGGTCTTTTCTTCACATAAAATTTCCACATTTGCGAGAGTGAAGCAAACCGTAAATCTAATTTCACTAAGGGATTTTTTATCTTGCTATTTCTTTCCCAGTGATTTCCTGAAAATTATCCAACTTTTATGAATATTTAAAATACCACGGATTTAGTGAGCGTCTTATTAGGTCTATTCCGGGGGCAAAATTACATTGAAGGCCTAAACAGTCATGATCTGAAACTCTTATTTGCTAAAACATCTTCCATTCTGTGCTTACTTTTCATTGTTGAACAATAGTTTGTCACCTATGAAGAGAGTTTGTGGCTCTGGTAAGTGTAAAGATAAACGCCTCGCCCACTGCTTTCCATCTTTGTAGATGATCTACGCGAGCGAACGGGTGGAATGCACCCGGGACTTAACCAATTGATTAACTCCGTATCCACCGTTCTGGCAGCCAGCAGTGGTGGTCCGGCCGACTTACAACAACAGCAGCAATTGGGACCAATGCCACAGGCCTTTGATCTTTTCGATAACCGCTGTAGCGGTGTCACTTCTCATTTGGGGAAGCAACACTTTGCTGGTAGGCAAAACTCTGCATCGGCCTCGGAAACACTAGGCCAACTGGTAATGCGTGCAACCCATCTTCAAGCGACAATCGTCCAGTTAGACAAGAAAAAAAGGGTAAACGATCTTAATGGTAGCATAACCATTTAAATCCCACCCTGTTTCCGTTTTTTACTGCTGGCATTGTACTTTTGTCTTTGAGTTGTATTTCTACAGGATGGTTTTATTTGTGAAATTTGAAAAACAGCTGTTACTTGAAGTCAGGCCATTCGAGTAAAGGACGTCAATGGTATCTAAGTTTGAATATTGTGTGGTGAAATGAGATTAGGTGCTAGTTGTTTTTAGGTAGCAACAAAACTGTTGTGACGATCTGTAGCCATGGCAGCAAGGGGAGTGTCATTTGACTTTCGGTTACTTTTTGGCCACATACCTAATTTTTTTGGGAATACTCATTGTTCTTTACCTTGGCTACTCCTATCCGAGTTTTATTAAGAGATAAACTGATCTTGATCAGATTTAACTTTATAATCCTCCATTTTCTCAATTCCCTAGTCATCAAAACCCACTTCATATCCCATGGCTTAGGTGTGAGGCACTGCGAATAAATGAGGTTTTTCGCTCGATCCTTTTAGACTAAACATTTGCATTGGAGCTGTTTTGTTTTTGGGTGTGCATCCATTGCACATGGTCACTGGTGGAATTTGCCACCTCTTATGAATACGGTGTGCTGGTATGCCAACTGATGGCGCCTGAAAGGGGTACTTTAACGTATTTCACGCAGATCGACAGACCTTTATTATCATATTCTACCCAATGCTCGCAAAGCTTGATTTACGGACATCGAATTTTCTCTGCCTTTATCCTGGGCTTATGCTGCTGCACGCTTATTAATTGTTTTGGGAGGTTACCATCCCACTCTCTCATTAGGCTGATTAGTTAAACACTCAATCTAGAGCACTCCATTCTGAATGCGTTGCCATTTCACGGGTAAAAGGGCAGCCGAATTGCTTTCGGTGGGTGACTCCTCTAAAAATGGTGGCTTATAAACTTAGTTACTTGATCCCAGAGTGGTCATGTATTTTTCCAAGTATTATTTTTAGGAGCTGAATATGAAGCATTCACAGTTACGCAAGATGAACATGGGAGGCCCTACAGCTCACCATTCTAACTCCATGCTGCAAGAAATTGTGCTGCAGCAGGCACAGATCTCACAACAAATCGAGGCGCAGGAAGCCCAGCTTGGTCAAGTGCGTCTTCAGATTGCTTTTCTCACTCGTCTTACAACGGGTGGTGGCGGCGGTGGTGGCATTGGCAATGAAGATTCCACCGCTGCTGCTGCCGCGGCTACAGCTGCTATGCTCATGCGTCTCCGTTCTGGCGGTGGTAACGGTAGCGTTGGCCCTCCGCCTACGCGGATGGTGAACCATCCGATGGGAGGATTCGGCAGCTGTGGGCCTCGCGGAAATGGGATGCTTATCAATTCTCCACTTCCCTCCACTGATCTGGCCCCTAGATTGGCCGATTTGAAGCTATCGATGGGTGTGTTCTCATCCCGGTTTGCGTAGTTGATTGAGATTTGCTCTCCTAGGAATAATTCCTGGTTTGTTGAATTGTAATTTTAGGGATGGCAAGCACTACGTTTTGAAGTGATTTTTGAATCAGATGCAAAACCCCACTTTTATGCAAGGTTGTTCTGAGGTGTTCCAAAAACCTGATGGTTCTAATGCCCGTAGTCCTGCGTTTCATTCCACCCAACTGCTTCGCATAGTGGTAATGATCTGTCATCAAATGCTCACATTGTTCCAAGTTATTAAACCCATAAGTCCTTTCATCCTTGCAACCAACAGCTTCCACTTTACTGATGTTGCCAAATTACAACTGCTTCCATGCCATTCAGTGTCACTGTTTTTGCTTTATTATTCTCATTTACAAGTTTGTTTTCGTTGATGCGTGCTTTCGCTTCTGCAAACTGCATATGTCAGCTGAAATTCACGTCACCCTGGGCTCATGCTTTGTTTTATCTTAAAATTGGCTAGCATGAAATGTATTTCAACTTTGCCAAAGGCGGTTTATTAAACTCCATCGATGTTTTTTGTTATTTTTAAACAACTTTCAGTTCACGTATACTGTACTATATTTCTCTGAAAGGTCAACTTTAGGGTCAGTTCACTTCGCAGTGTAATTGCAGTGTGATTTGTTGTTGGCATTGGAAGTGACATACTTTAAATTATGGGAAGCAGGCACTTCTCTAAGGAGTAGGAAACACTAATGGAAGTGCGTCGATTCTTACGGAAACTACAGTGTAACTGTGCTTCGGTTTTCTCTGTGGAACTCGTAGACGTGGGACGTCGAATGCCTTGGGAGGGTGGTGGTGGTGGTGGTGTTTGGGACGTCCCCTCACCTCATCAATTCAGCCATGTCTCGTCGCCGAACACCTTCCTTAATAGCGATCCCACATCCAACGTCTTTCCTCTCACCTCTTCCACTCTTGGTGATCGTCGATGGACGACCTCCAATTCCTCCTCCGATTTTCACCAACCTCCTGCCCCTTCCCTTTCTAACACCACTGCTGTTGCGGCAGCAGCCAACGCTATTTGGAACGCCTCCTGGCTCCTCCTCTCCGATTTGACACCTCAGTTTTCCCTTGAAGTTCTCCGAATTTCTATCACGACTGCATTGGATCAGCAACAACAACAACAGAACGTAGTCATTGGTGATGGAAGCGGCGGTCCTTCGAACGTCGGCACTGTTTCTTCCACCCCATCCTATGAAGTTCACCCTAATCTAACGTCTCGCTACGTTCTGGTGGGATTCTTAAACCCAGCCGATGCCTCCGCTGTTTCTACATTTATCTCCTCTACTGCTAATTCAACAATCAAACTTGCCAATAGTGTCACCATCATCAGTCCTGCAGAGGCCATGGCAAAGTTGCAGGAGATAAAGGTTTGTTGCCAATCTAGATCCTCAGTTCTGTTGATTTGTTCTTATTTTTATGTGTATATATGTGTATGCATGCACTTCTGACTGGGGTTTTCCTTTTGTTATTCCAGACTTTAGATGACGAACTTCAACAGCAACAGCAACAGCAAAACCCATCTCAGCAACAGACACCACAACAGCAGGGAACTCAGTTAACTTGGCCCCCAACAAATGTGCCCGCAAGCGAGTAGTAGCTTGGTGAAATTGCGTACGCATGTGTGGAGTGTCGTCGCCCTCTTCGTATGTCCGTCTGCGTGGGTGTGTGAGCGTGTGTGTGCATTGCAATACATTTCTTTCTCTTTCTGTGTGTGTGCGTGTGTGTCGCCTTCTTTTGCCTCGCCTCGCCTCGCCTCGCCTCGCCCCACCTCATCCAACGTTAAATCTACTGTGCAATTTGGTAACGCGATCCTTGTCCTACCTCGGAATAGACTGGATAAGTGAACTTCTGCATCCGCGTTTTTTCTCCATTTTTCTCCTTCCTATCCCCAAGTGATGTATGCGTGAGGAAGGGGCAAAGACGATTAACCTCGGTCAGTCCCGTAACTGCCGTTTTCACTCACCGAATATTGCCATTTCTAAACAGATGTTATTACTAATGCAGATATTGCTAGGTCAATGCACGTACCCATGCACACGTGTACTTCTACAAACTGACTCGCCTGCGTTCAAACTCACGAAAATACAACTACATACACACGCGTACCTTCCCTATGCGTTTTTGCCTATTTGTAGTATAACTTATGCCACACTACATTCAAAATACCACCTACCAAAGCGCCGCTGAGGACTTTGCTGATAATGCTCCTTCTGCCGCCACTGCAACCATTACCACCGCTACTACTATTGCTAATGATGATGATGATGCTCTGTTTATTAGTTAGAATGTATTTCTGGTGTTTCTTCTTCTGATGCATCGAGGAAAGTGACGATTGGTCTTGAGAACTACTGGAGTGTTTGTGTGTTGTCAATTTCGTTTTTTGCTTTCTCAATCAAGGGGAGCTAGGAAAAAAGGAGGTAATTTTGCCATAGTTGTGGACTTGAAATAGTTGAGGGTTGAAGTGTACGCTGGGCAGGGCTGGGTTATCGGTGTTCGGCGGGTTTTCAGTATCGCTCTTCCTTCGTTTGAGTTGTGGATGGAGGAGCGCAACTATCAAGCGCGAAGCGGTGAGTGGGGTGGGGTAAGTCTGCGCTAGTTGGGCTCTCCCAGTATGGTTGTAACCGGCGGTGTCTCGTTGGCAGTTTGGAGGATCCCCGCTCTGCAGTTAGGGCAAGCCGTCCATTGGGTTGTCACGGTGACGTAGGATGAGCTATGGCATTGGTCAGATGTGTTCCTACGTTGCTAGAGGGGTTGGGGGCTGCTGTTCCACATTCGCTTACTCTCGGATCGGGGGTGGGATTGCTGGATGTCATCGGATACACTTGGGAATGTAAGTAGTCGACAAGTGCTCTGGTGCAAAAGTTTTGGTTGTCGGTCCTGACTTGGGGACATTATCAGCTAAATCTGTCCTAAGGTCAAATGGACAATGGTAACGGCTGTGCCGAGTAATCTTTGATACAGTGTTCTATCGAGTGTGGGGCCTCAGTATTTCCTATAAATGGGCTAAAGTTTAAATGAAAGGGACTTACTAGGGGGTATAGCAAGTGCTAAGGTCCGACGTTGCATTCGAGTCTATCCTTGAAGTGGGGGAAATTTTATTGGGCTAACGCAGCTCACACAAAGTAGGAAAGAAAAACGGAGAAGAAAAAAAGCAAATTGTGAGGAAACGTTGAGTCTTCTATGTGAGTTTTATTTATCGGTCCATAGATTGTGAGCATCAGATCCAAAATCCCAACCACTTAGAAGCCACAAAATTTGTGGCCTTATTATAAATCGACAAGCTCTGTAATATTGCAGTGATCAAGGGATTACATTATTTAGAAATGCCATTTCATAGCCATACTTTTTGTGCCCATTCGAAGGCGCCTGTTTCGGTTGTGTGTTTAATAGGTTTGGGATGGCTACTGATGTGCTTGATATTCTGGACATCGAAGAATCTGGCGCTCGGAAGTCTTTATTGAATACAAAGTCTCTACTTGCCAGAACTGATAAGGTAAGTACTTTCGTCTGTGTGAGCTTTCGGGCAGAAGAAAAGTGTCGTCAAACCAACTCACATCAAACGCCCAGAACACATTCCAAGAGAAGTCTGGGGTCTGCAGAATACTTTTAAAAAGTAATTTTTCTGTGGATATGTAGTGTGTTTGTTTTACTGTCGGTGCATTTGTCATAGTATATGTTTTGTCACCTATCCCTGTGCTTTAGATTTTTGTTTTTGATAAAAAAACCAAGATGAACTCAGGTCCAAATAATTTGACCTAGTTATGATTTCCGGTCTTAGTTCATGCAATGAACCATCTAAAATTTTACTTTTTGGCCCCTTTGTTGTAAAAGCATTGGGCACTGGTCTCCATTGCTGATGCGATGGTTAGCATCTTCTTGTCTCCTGTGTCGCTTGATCTGATAATTTAGAATTTGGAGGTTACAATTACTCCTTGTGTACGTCTACTGTGCCTCTCTTTTCAAGCACTAGTAGAGACGCTACTAGTAATGGATACGTAAATTCTTTTAAATCCAATTTTATGGTACATCATTTAATGTCATGCACGCTATGCCTCAAATTTATGAACAATAGAATGCAGCCAAGATTATTTAGCCTTAAATAATGTAGATTTTGTAATGTACTAGCCATGTTTTTAATTTTTGGTTGCTTTTTCTCCTCCATTTACCACCTAATCATACTTGATTTCCCTTCAATCCCATTTTGGTTACTATTATTATTACTATTATTTTCACTATTAATTAATGTGTGCATCATCTCGAACTAGAGCTTTTAATGCTTATCCGTAATTTAGTGAGCTCCCTCCTCTACTACCAAGTGACGAATCGCCTGTTTATAAACAGCCAAAGGCCGTCTTTGGACCTGGTCGTATCCGTCGTTGGAAATGGGTGCCTTTTAAAAACTCTGCTCGCTGTGTAGGGCCTCTATGTATCATCGAGTTTTCCTCTAGGATAATTTGGTTCTCTATCACTGGCGTCGTGAAGACACTGATGCCAATGAGGAGTATCATTTTGCTCGTCTCAACAAGGTATTTTCGGTCAATATCTACTTGTTATAAATAAGTAAATAGTATATGCTAAATATTCCAAATCTTCTTTAAGCATATGGAAGTTCCAACGTACACCGATGCCGACTATAGGGCTTACCTGCAGGATTCAAAATGGACTCTTGAACGCACCAACCACCTAATGGAGTTGGCGCGTCAGTTTGACGTTCGATTCATTCACATGCACGACCGATGGGATGCGGAGAAGTTTTCGCCTAGGCCCTCCTTGGAGGAATTAAAGGCTCGGTACTATGGGATACTCGGAATCCTTGACAAGGTGAGGCAGATGTCTTATGCTATTTTGGAATTATTTCAATGAAATTAACGTGTACTGTCAATCGTGTATTTCACAGTCAGATTTCAGCTTCCAAACGAATTAACCGTGGAAGTGTTTCATTAATTGACTTAAATCTCATGAATCGAGACGTTATTTTTGGATGACAAACTTGCTGAGCTTAACTTAATAGCATATACTTAGGCGAGATACAATAGATCATGTGATGTGTTTTACTTAACTGCAATAGATAAATCTAGTTGAACCCTAATTGTTTACGCCACGCAAAGAAACGTTCGGTCTGGTTTTTGCTGCGAATCCGCGCCATTTGCATTATGCTTATTATTGGCGTCAGGCAAATAGTTGGGTTTTATAAAAACTAATACTCCTATCTTCTATTTTAACTTTGTCTCAACAAAGTAAATAGAATCGTATTGTCCTTGAAATTGGAGGAAGGGGGGAGGAGAAACATGAATCAAATTGACATTACCAAGAAAAGGAAACGGTAAAAGAGACCTAAACGTACAATTCCAAGGCTCAATCGTAGCTATGCAAGCCTGGAATCGTCCAGAGACTGTCGTTCTGGAATGAAGGGAACAGATGGTCCCATTTACAATTTACGACCAAAAGTTGCACATAAGGTCGGGAAGTAAAAGGACATAACTTTTGTTTTCTTTCGCGAACGTCAGGAGGCTAACGTTGAATTCTTATGTAACTGCAGTCTGCTTCTTAATGACTTTATGGTTAGCACAATGATATTTGATAGAAGCTGAAGAGAATCTGTTTCATGCTTTCAGTGCTGTCTATTGAAAACCAATTGCCATATTATTTTGGTACTCGAATTTCTTTTGAGTAGATTCGAGGCACAAACCTCGGCCAAGGTCTACGATATGACATTGAGCATGAGAAACGCCGGAAGCAGCAATTAAGCCTCCTTTACGGTCGCAGCAAGGACGAGGTGGAGGAGGAGGAGCGCCTTATCGGCGAACTTGAGCGCATTGAGGCGCGTCGAAGGGAACGCGAGAGGAAGAAGCAGGACCTTCAAAAGCTTATCTCTCAGGTAACGCGGTGGTTTCAAATCCTCCTTCTCCGGTTTATTTGGTCGACTATCAGTTTTCCAAAGCAGCACCTCAGATCCAGCTTGAACGGGTTGATGGATGTTTGAGTCTTAATTATAATTGTAATTGGTTATTAAACGTTCTGTCGCTCTCATTCGATGCATAAATTTTACTGGTCGTGGGTGTTATCTTTCGTTTGACTTGCCGCATACTAGCCATTTACAAAGGCCCCTCATTCAAAGCGGCTCAGAAATTGCGTCCTTGAAGGTGATGTCAAAGAGGCTTCACGTAATTCCCATGCAATGTGGTCGCCCAACGCACTTTACACCTTGTAGGCTGAATCTGCCACTCGTGAATTTAATGACACAGGACACGACGATTCGGCTGGCTCTCGGCGAACAACTTCTTTGGGTGGCGGTGGTGGAATTTTTGGAAGCTCAACGCAGGTGGAGCGTCGAAGGTCGACTGTGGGCTCCCAAGGAGTTACTGGCTTAATAGAGGGCCTTGGCGGTCGCGCTGGCGGTTCTCTCAGTACTGCTCTTGCTGCCACTTCGTCAGCTATGGCTGGGACCTTGGTATGTCAATTTTTTGCAGCTTTATATGTTCCAAGTAGATTATTGTGTAGAGCCAAATGGCTGACAACTTTGATCCCTCACATTTGTTACTGTGACTTATGCCGCCACCGGTGAATAGACAACGCTAATTAAGGATTAGTGTATACGCTGTACAGCTGCTGGTAATGTATCAGTTTATTACTCTGTTAGACAGTTTTTATCCCAAAACTTGATTTGAGAATCGTGTTGAACTTTAATTTTACTATCCACTACACATCTAATAGATCAGAGCCTGTATTCACGTCTTGCGAATGACAAGGCAGCGCATCACGTCGCCTTTGTTGGCTTTCATTTACTCGCTGAATTTTATTTCCACACTAATTATAAAGTATTCAATATTGAGTTGTCAAAATAATGCCATGAGTGATTTGGATTTGTCCCATGGCGGCCTGATGGTTTCACCAATTGTTTGGGACGACTGAACCATCGCCTAGTTGCATCGTGGTGTTATTTACGGGTTATAAGTGAGGAAGATTTAGTCTCTTTTTCGCACGAATAATTGGCAGCCCATGTGCCTTTTATGTGTAGTGAATGTGAAATATGAGATCCTCTTTGATCCCATTTATCCAGGCAACCTACTGCTGATGCCAAGGATAGAGAATCTCAATGATGTTGTTATTTCCTTTTAATTTCCTTGAAAGTCTAAGGTGCCATGAAAACATTCCACTAGTATTTGATAGAGGCTCCCAAAATCGCATCATTGGGCAGCGAGGTTAAAAATGTTCGATGAGAAGCAGTTGGCTAGATAGATGTAGGATACTTCAAAGATGCGACAGAGCATCATTTATAGTCTTTGAATACAACTTAGAAATAAACGAAAATTGCTAAAGTTGATTTGTTCTTAATCTGCTTCATGTTACACATCCGGAAATCACTAGACATAAACAGTGCCACTCATTTGATGCCTACGAGACATTGAATGCGAACAGAAAAACTACTCGCAAAGACAGCAAGGTGGGATGCAAGCAAATTGGCCTCTCCTACACACGCCCCGACAACAACTCTTGAGGGTTGTGTGTGCTCTGAGGCAGGCGGTGGTGATTTCTGCCAACACCCAAAACCTGACACCCAGATGGGAAGTAGGGCAGGTGAGTACTGCGGTGCCAGTCTGTAGCTCAATGCGTGCTGCTGTTGCTGCTGCTGCTACTACTACTGCATATTGTGAGTTGAGGAGTGGTCGGGTCGACACAATCAAACAAAGTCATGTGCTAATCGTTTTGATTCATGAGGACGGTCGTTTTGTGGTCAAGGAGGCGTCGGCAGTGCTTGGTGTGGGACAGAGATCGCCGATGTGAGGCAGTGCATGGTGAGGCTGGAGTTTAGTGGGAGTAGAGGATTTGATGAGGAGAGTTGAGGTGTCGTGCATCTGTTGGTTGGTGGGGAGGAGTGCGTTCCTCCTTACATTTCACGTTTCCTATTCCCCACTGCGCATTGTTTGGTTGCTGGCATGACTTTCCTTCTATTCCAGTCTGGTTGCGCAAATCTGGCCTTTCCGGATCTGTCGAAGACGCCGGGCGTGCATCTGAACAGTCAAGGGGTGAGTTGGCTGGCGTGTTGCAGTGTAGGTGGTTCGATGCGCCGACACAGACATGCACTCCCACTCACCCTCACTCTCACCCTCGCCCTCGCCCTCGCCCTCGCCCTCACACACACGCACACGCACACACACACATGAATGCAACCACAAGGGGAAGTTAATGTTAATTATGGTGAGTGAATGGGATGATGGTGGGGAGGACGGAACCAAATGGTCCGCCATCAAGTGTCGTGTCCTGCACTTGATGCAGGTGTAGGGAACGTTGAATTGCAGTCGCGTGTTGGCCTAATGGTAGGTGGAAGGGCACTTGAGATTGGACGATGTTGGCGAAGGCCTTAACCATGCTTTGATGTTGGCACTTCATCGTACGTGTGTGAGTGAGTGGGTGAGTAATTGCGTGGTGAGTTTGAGTTGTTGTTCCTGCATTGTGGTGGTGGTGGAGCACTTGTGAAACGGTATTCAAGTGTGTTGGTGGGTGTCTGACTGATGAAATGTCACGGTTGGTTGTCTGTTGCACCACAATGATGCAGTGCAAATGTGGTAGCAGTAGGTGCTGTTGGCCGCGCCAACTCCAAGACGTGGAGGTGGAGGTGGAGGTGGTGGAGTGGATGGAGGAGGGTGTGATGAGTGGTTGGTGGGGAGTGTAGGAGCAAAGTGGGTTGATGTTGCCTGTTGGTTGTATTGTAGATGAAGTTGCCTGCGTCGTTGGGTCAGAAGAGGATTCGCGTGATAGAGAACTTCCTCTCGCATTATCAAATGGGTGAGTGTGAGGTGCATGTGGTCGTGGCTTTGGTTTGTACTTCCTACCGGAATGTTCGTATCGTTAATACTAGTAGCAGTGATGTTTGTAGTAATGCGATGGTAACAGCGGTGGCAGCGGTGGCAGCGTTATCGACTTTCAAATCTACCTCCATAGGAGTAGCAGCAGAGCAATGAGAGTAAAGGTACTAAAACAAGAAGGGAGCCGTACTTGCTCCATCTCCATTTAGTCTGTAACTCTTAAGGGTGAGGCAATTCCTGTCCCATCACTTTCAAGTGAAAAGCTTAACAGTGGTTTGATTGAAAGACAAGTTGGTGCTTTTGCTCATGGCGGTTAGCTGACACCATTTATGGTTACGGGGTCATAAAGAAGCCCTTAAAAGTTTAAAATAATGCCTTAATTTTGGTCTGTTGGTGTTTGCATTGGTGATCTTAGTGGAGAGGTTTAAAGTCTTCTGCTTCACTTTGAAATAGACGGGTTACATTCCTTACAATTGTTGGCTTTGTTGTGCTTCTTACCTTCTTACCTTTAAAATGGCATAAGCTATCTTTAGTACGTCGAAATTAATCCAAACGGACCTAATCTGAGTATTCTTTTGCTTCCTTTTATCATGGTATTTGAAGGTCTGGATTGTAGCTGTTAATTTTAGAAGAGGATTTAAATAATAGATTACGCTTTTACCTTTCTTCTGCCTCACCTAGTTCACTTTGTTTCATTGTTCCAGTTGCAAAGCGACATTGTGAACTGGATACACCGATAGGAGACACGGCATTATGACGATACTTGATTTATTAAAGCCTTTTTTGCCGCACCCTCGCTGTCATTAATGCTGCAACCGAATGTGTACTTTTGAGTGGTCAAAATTAAGATGTTGTAGTCGGTAGGAGGGGCAAAATTTATTTGTAAAGAAATGTGGGTAAGTCATGGAGGCCTTAAGAGGCTCGTTCAATGATGCTATTTTTTTAGGCAGTGCACTAACTTCAATGAGTAAATGCGGAGTCACAACATCACTTTGTATTTGGCGGTTGGTAAATTGGTAAATTAAGAAATAATCTTTTCTAGCCGACCTTACTAGGGCAACTAAGGTCTCTTTCACGAGGTCGGGCTGTCGATAAACCTTTGTTAAGCAGGTGGATGGACCGAAATGTTGGAGGCAATAGGCATTTTCTACTTATCGGGCGATTCACGACTGACTGAGGAGGTGATACGATTTATGCATTAGAAGTCACTGCTAATTGCATTCGTTTAAAATCCTTATCGATAAAAGCCAGAAGCCGACCAAGTTGCTCCATCTAGAAATGATGGAAACTTTGATGCTGCTCGGTGTAGATTTTACAGTGTGCTTTGTCCTTACTTATAAACAGATCCTAGTCCTCCGGCGACTAAAGAAATCGTGGAAGCGTACAATCGGTTGCGCAGTAATATCCTCTTACTTTACGATCTACGAGGCGCTCTTCTCCAGTGCGATTACGAACTCCACGCCGCTAGGGCCCGTATGGAACTATTTGCCGCTGAGAGGGTGCGTATTTCTCTCCAATCCTCTCTACTTTTTTATTGGGTGGATCCTTTTGGTGAATGGTTGAGTAGTATTTTATTTTAGTATGAATTGAACGAGAAATATGTAGTCTGTTGATAATCGTATGTCTAGTTGTCATCTTTGTTAGATCTATTGACTTTTGAATTGAAGAACTTCGTGTAACCCGATAAATTTGCTGCTAAACACCTTTTGATAATCTCGGTTTGACCTCGATGTCTGGATGTTTTTTGGCAGTTTAAATCATTTTCATGATGGTTATGGGCCCTCTTAGGGTTCCCAATAGATGATAAGATTGTGGGATTGTGGACTTTCGAACATGGTAGCCATTCTCTCAAGTGCTATGGTTTTTAGGCTTGCCTGCTCCACTCTCGTTCACCCCAGAGGACACATAAAAAAATTATGACACTCATAGAGGCAATAGATACGTGATTCCATAGTCTTCGCAAGCCGCAGGCGCCACGAGGCTTAAAAATCCTTGGACGGTTCAGCCATTACCGTGTAAACCCTTTTACATGTTCTTCTCATCTTAGCAGTAACTTTGCCTGGCTGATTAGAGCGATTGTGTCCTCTGTCAGTGGGAATGAAAAGTTGCGATCTTCTGGATGGCACCTTTGCTCCTGTAGCCCCCTTGTATCTCAAACTTTCAGTTATGCTGTTATCCGAGAACTTTGTGGTCCTGGTAATAAGTAATTTCCACTTATGAGAATGGAATGCCAAGCGAGGAGACCGGTAGAAGCAAAGGCCAAAAAACTCGTTAACAGTAGGTTGTCCGCATTTCCTTGTTCATCAATTCTATTCCATTTCCGCCTGTCTTCTACCTTATCAACTATAGCCTTCACTTTTCTAAGCGCAGCAGTTTTTCGTTTCACTGCGATGACTTTAAATGCATCACTCAAAAGGGATCATGAAGTGTTTCGTCAGTTCTACAACAGATGGTTGTTCTTCTAAAATAATTGTCGCCTCTCCCGTTTTGAAACGTTTCAAGTGGGTGGATTGTCGTCGCACTGAAACAGTGGAACATTTCTTAGGCTTTTCACGTTTAAAAGCATTGGTATATTGGCAACGATTGCAAACATTGCAGCATTTTAGGAAAATCATTTCTTGCTTTGTTAAAACTGCCGCTGTTTTTCCCTCTAGCATTTCCACACAGGTAGTTTTATCTAATTCCTCCAAAGGGTTACTGTGTATGGCAATTTTCGTGGTTCGAGCACGTCTCTATTTTCTCTCTTGTCCTGCTTAATTAGGAGCTGTCATTTTTCTAATTTACACTCATGTTCATTGCCATTTTCACAACATTTAACGAGGATGGATTGATTGTGCCGGTTGAATTGTGAATTACTTTCGTCTTCACTGTGAGAACAATTTGGTTCGGACAACGCAGGTTTGGCAATTAGTCTCGCTTTCGAGGGTCTTAGGTAGATGTCAAATGATACAGATTGAACCCACGAGATTTAGTGTTTGACCTTTGAAAGAGAGATTGTTTATGTCGTAGATGTTAAACACGTAGTATGTTTAATTTTTAGCCACTTTTAAGCACATCACTTATCCCCTACCCTTCGTTATGGTTGTTGGTCTTGATGAGCTAGTTGTATGGGAACATGTGTGTGCTCGAAGAAAGCTGGAATGGCGATTACATTGGCGAGTCTGACAATAACTGCCGTCAAACTTCTTCAACACTAGATTGTCACTGCAAGTCACCTTTTGCTAGAATCCTTACTGGAAAAGACGTTATTAAGCACAAAATGGCACTCTTCAGAATCTGGTCTTTAGACTGCATGTGGCTTTTATGGAGCCTTATGATAAAAATAACCGAAAGGTCATCAATGAATCGAATAGGGCGAGAGAGGATTGCATACTTACTTCAATGGGCTAAGTGTCTATCGTCAATTTGATTTTATACGAATGTTGTCAAGGCTAGTACACTTGAGTTTTTTTTTATATTTTGAGACCACGAAAGACCGGATTCTGAAGATTTTCCCTTTAGGCCTTAAAATCGGCTCTTGGTGATTTCATTCCCCACCGTTTTATGTGCAATAGCAGACAAAATTGGCCTCTCAGTGAAGAACAATACACCAAGTTCCGCAATGAAATGTCCTATTGTCTTCACATTGCTTATAATGTCTGCTTTTTTGAGAGAATTTTGTGACAAATAGTGGCAGGGAAGTCAATATCCGGTGTAAAAGTATATCCGATGGCAGCTAACCACCTAAACACCCAAAGCCGAACATAAAAATGTTGCGCTTGACATTTAATTTAGGCATTGTGGAACACAGCAACATTTGTTTACTCATGCGCTACTCGGTTCTTCACCGACATCCGGCGGATACGCTTCTGTTCTTTCAGCTATGGAGATTGCAAAGTTGACAGAGAAGGAGAAGTCTAAATGTGTGTGCTTGTGTGCTTTTTCTTTGCATTTGATTTTAATTGGGACGCGGCATAACAAGCATTGTGGAGGCGGCATCATATTAAGTCATTCCTTTATTTGCCCAAAATCATGCTTACGTAAATAGGCCTAGGTGGGTGTTGGATACTTGTTGTGAGAGGAGCTTCCTTTGATCTACTCCTGACTGCAATCAAAGTCTCCTTAGAAGCCTCTATGATATTCATCTGTTTTGGGTGATTGCATGCTCACAGTGTTCGCAAGAGCGGCAAGGTTATAGTTCGTCCATAAGTGGGTGGTGTTGACATACCTTGCGTTCGTTATCACATCTAACCTTTCTTTCCCTCAAAACAAAAATATTTCCTGTCTCATTCTCTGCTTGTTTTGTTTCACCTTTACCCGTAGAAACTACCTATTAAACTTATACTTGTGAAGAAATTTGAATAACTTCCACCTTGAATGGAAAAGGGAGATAGTAGATGAGATTGCCTACAATATTGGAGATGAAGGCAAAATGGGAAACATCAAGATTTTGTGGCAATTCCATCCTTCTTTTTTCATCGCTTATTTCGTTTGAGTTTTCACCGCCCCTTCTATCTGATGCCTTGACTTGCAGCAGCAGTGGATGTTTTGTCGGGTGCAATGAAGGCATTCACCATACGCTTACTAGAAACTTACTGACAATAATGCTCAGTTAATTCTACTCCAGAATACACCGTGAGGTCTCCGAGTTAGTCACTGCGGCGCAGCCTTAATACACTTCATCATTGTCCTGCCTGAATTGCTTGAAACTTTCTTTTTCCTATCCACGCTGTTAATCGTTTATTCTAGCGTTGGAAGACATTGTAGGTCGTCAACTTTCAAAGTGATTTATTTGTCAACTCTTCTGAGACAACAAAGTCACCCGAAGAGACGGTATCTCAAGTAGCTTGTTTGCTTGATTGTATTTTTTGCCAACAAAGCACTTGGTTACTTGTTCGATTTTGCAGATCCCCTCTTGGAGAACGGAAATATTTTTTTGATCAAGCCTAATCATCCTCAAAGAGTGTTTCCTGTTTACTAAGGGAAGAAAAATAGAACACCTTGACACAGCTTCCGGTCCGTTTCAGGTCTGCTTATCCTCTACGAAGATTTATGTTTCCATATCCAATGTTCTACTCCTCAGAAAGCAAAACTGTCACTTATTTTTAATTCCGCGTCAATTTTTTTTTTCTCCAAAACTAAGTCAGCATGTGACGCTTTTGGGTTGGATAAGTGTTTCAAGGCAACCACTTACGCCCTCTCAACCCACTTTCCATCCTGGTAAAAGGCACAGCAAGTGGATTGTAAAAGGAAGAATAAAATTAAGACAAATTGGATTGCCGTGTTAGGTGAATGAAGACGTTAAACTGTGACGATACTGATTACTTCCTTTTTGTGTTTCATAATTTTGTTTCGAAAAGTCGGTAAAATTCTCTTCTGAGAGTTAAGCGTTGTTGATGGTGAAAGTGCATGGGTGGTCCCTTTGCTCTTTCGCTCTCCATTAATGTAGCTTTTTATCCTGTTACCTGATGTAATCCCTCTTCCCCTTCCTCTCACTTCTTTGCCCTACTGATAAGGCTGATTTTTGTCGAGTGAATGATGGTGCGGCTTGTTTAAACTTCTTAAGGCACAGGGTCTAACCTCAATCTTCTAAAATGTCACACCCTTATCCCCTTAAGACGCTTTAAGCTGTACAAGTCTAGACACAGTTTTAGTTTTCTCAAAGAAAGGAATGGCCTAGAATCATTGTTGGAGACTGGCGTGGTCTGCACAACAAATGCAAGCTGTTTTCATTTGCGCGTTGAGAAGAAAATGGCTACGATAAGTGTTCATCTCAGTTAAAAGGCTTTCACTTGCTGGATAAACTCTCGTAGTTTGATGCGCTACCACAGCAGTCATCAGTATTTATGCGATGTCAGTATGAAACCTTCGTTAATTTCGATAGATTCCATCAAGTCTTGCCAATTTGACATCGAATTCTGGCAAAGCGGGTACCTCAGGTCCCGCTCCTCCTCCCGGCGTTGATGCGAGTGTGTTGGCCGCGCTGAAGGCGGCCGATTCGAAGCGCCCAGCCCCACCTCGTCATTCCTTCGGTCATGCGGGTTCTTTGGCTGCAGCTGCGGGCACTTTAGGGGGCTTGAACGCAATTCCGCCTCCCGTTCCCTCGCCCATGCCCTCACCCCACACCGCTTCTTCCCCATCTCCCTTGGGTGATGCTTCACCTGCCTACGCATTTGGTGGCAGTCAGCAGCAGTCGACATCGTCATTGGCATCACAACGGAGGAAACGCGCTGCTGCCGCTGAACAGGGCAGAGTAATGAAGAAATTGAAGACCAAAGGTCACCTACTGGAGTGACGTCATCCTTTTGTTTTGCAAAACGTGGTCATAACGCATCTTTTTCATCCAGACCTTGTGCCCCGGAAGCGAAGTAGTTTTATTTCGCCTTAGTGTATTTTACGATACGTACTTAGAAAGGCAATGCGAAAATGCGGGTTGAATTGTTGGTGTAAGTTGTGAACACTTTAAAGTTAAAGACGCTTTTTTTGTACCTCCCAAACTCCATTTTGATTTTAAATACACCACCTTTATCACTGTATATGAAATTTTAAAGACCAGCAACAATGCTAAGGAAGATGCTTTACATTTACCGGTCCTAAATCTTTGCCATCGTAGGGAAGGCACCTATTCATGCACCTGTCACCAGTGTAACCTTAAGGTCTGGAAGGAATTTCGTAATCCGTATTGACTGTTTGTGGAAATGTAGTTTTGTTGGGAACCGTAAGTGATGGTCTCATATTTTACTTAATTTTATTAATGCTTACTGAAAGCATTCATTCTCCTCATTGAATTGACTTAAATGTGTCCCATGGTGGCATTCTTAGTTCAATTTGTAGGCTAGATTTAAAGTGATGTTGGAAACTGATGTATCACAAACAGTTTGAACTGCTTCTCTTGGTGTTCAAATTACTGGAATCTGTTCTGAACACATTTTTACTTTAAACTTGCTTGTAGGCGCTTGAATTGGTAGCTAGTTGGTTAAGCTCAGTGGTTGGGGTTGGTCAACTGGTGTGCTCTAATTTTATTGCCTATTTTTGGTCTGTCTGATATACGAAGTGCGTTAGTGGCAGTTTGTAGTGTCGGATTGCGTGAAATTGCATCCCATGCAACTTGTCTGAAGTCGAAGGACTAAAACAACATGCGCCTTTTTATTGATCCACCGATGATCCTATCGTGGAACACCTCACCTCCATCACCTTTACACTGACAACGTGTTATTGGGAGGTCTTAGTTTTGAGGCACTTACAAGATGACAGTTTATCCCTGCAGGATAGAGTTGACTGGTGTAAGTTGATGCTTACTTGCATGAATCTTTTAAGGCAATTTCGCCTTATTTTGCTACAAAGTGAAGGTTGTAACGTGATGACTAAAAGGTGTAAAAGTGAGGGTTTCAAAATCAATCACGTCAGAATGCCCAAGCTTGGAGGCAAATATATGCGATTGTGGCCAACTTGGTCTACAGAGTAGTCAGTAGTTTGCTCAACGTGGTTGATTAATGGCGAAATTTGTGTGAACTAAGAGTTGAGGCGCAATTATTACAATTGCATCACTTAGATAATTCATGTAATGCATTCCAACCCATACTACTGATTTGTGCACTTTGAGGTGGTTCGCCTTTTGAAGGAACCTAGAAATTGAAAGTGAATAGAGAGATAGAACTGGTGAATTGGTTATGCTGCCAGAGGTGGAAGACTGACGATGTTAATTATCACAGTACCGTGAGACTTCTTTGGGAGCCGAACTCTCGAGCTGAGTGTGTACTTTCAACGGAAGAAATTGGAATTACTGGCAAGGTTTGAAGACCAGGTTGAGCGACATGGATACATTGTTGAGGAGCTTAGTTGGCCTATCACCAAGCTCTGTCCCCACCGCTAGCCTTGGTAGTCCTCTCACAGCAGTCACCGCGGTGTATTCATTGCGCCACTAATCAAACTTTCATCATAGCTGAGATGCAATGGCTGATTGCCCTTTGAGTTCCGTCCTCTATGTGGCCTGTGTTGGTTGATCTGGAGGTATGCTGACCGTCAGGGCTGTTCGAGAAACACTGGCCAAAAAGGGAATTTGCGCAACAAAGGGCGAGGTTGACGCGTTTGCGTGGGAGTAAGACCTTCTCTCTAGGCCGCCTTATCACTGTTTTGGCGACCAAATATCTGTCTAGACAATCCAACTGGTAGACAGTTGGTCTACAACTAGCGTCGACCTTCACTATTAATGTAACTTTGTTTTTGCATATCACGGGACTGTTACAGTTGTGGAAAGTGGATGCAGACTTCGATCTTCCATTCGTAGTCTACTCAATTCTGTCGTGCCACAGGTAGGAATTTGGATGGATGTCATTTCGTTCACATTCGCTTTCTGATGCTTCTGCGACTTGTCTGCAGATGAGGGAGTTCCAGGGAGAAGTCTGAGGTCCAATCTTCAATGTTCCAGTTCATTGCAGGTCTCCAATTTATTGTGTAAGACAATTTATCCAACTTGGTTACCATAAATTGTCCGAGCACACATTGGTCATGTTTGTGCAACGGTAAAAAAGCTTGAATTCTGTCCTCCATCATCAGGTCCACCTCCCTTCAATTGTCGAGTATTCTGTGCTGGTTGGATTTTGTGTGTCCAACTTTGACCTCGTCTTGCCGCACCTGCGGAGTGACACGGAAATGTCACTTCCGTCAATTTTGGACACTTTGTGTTTAAAAAAAAATACAGTGTAACCTCGTACATACCAATCCTTTCTAGTCATCTCATGACTCATTTAATGGTGAAGAAAGAGATAGAGGGAACGACATGTGAAGAGGGTGATTTTTTTCTATA